GCCCCGGCCAGCGCCCGCGGGCGGGGCGGCGAGAGTCCGCGGGCCTCCGGGGAAAAGGATGACTGGCAGCTAGCGTGGCGGGGCGCTCCGGGAGGAGGGTGTAATTTTATTTTCTTTCCTGCTCTGGTTTGCCCCATCCAACTGCACCGCTTTCTGTCTGAAAGGATGGTCTCTCGGAGTGGGAGACGTCCGGGTTAAGCCAGACTGAAGAACGGTGGCAGGATCAGCTGGCTCTCCGGGAAAGAGAGGCAACGTAGAGTTTTGTTCTCTGAATCCTTGCCTCTGGGCATCCCTGGGTACCGAGTCCTAGCCTCCAAAATGCCACGGAGAGTAACAGCGGGATTTGAATCTTTTAATACTCCATCTTGTTTTGTTAATCACAGTTTGCCCAGGCCACTTGTTTAGGAAGCCCAAAGTGAAATAGGCGTTTGAACTTGATGCTGATCTCTACCAGTGTTGCCGCCAACTGGAAACAAGACAAATCCTGGCAGGAAATTGATTCCCAGTGAAGAACATCTGTGGCAAAGGAAGAAAATGTATGATGTTTTGGTAGAAAGCAAAGTTTTTTGTTTTTTTGTTTTTCAGGAGCAGAACCCATAGTGGGTGGTGGAGGGCCTGCCAAGATGTCCTCCCCAACCCTTTGCAGGGACTAACCACAAGGCCTGCTCAGCCATAAGCTGACCATCCTAACCAGCTGTACCACCCTAGTCCCAGGATCCTGAGGCACGTGGGCCCCTTCTACTGTGATCTCACCGTTCCTCCTTGGGATTCAGTTTTCAAGTCTACTAAGGTGATGTTTGTTGTCCTAGCCAAAGGTGAATAAACTGTTAACATCAACTGTATCCATCAAATCTACCCAGACCACAAATGGTCATATAGCTGCCAGACTGAAAGAATCATAACATCTTATGCCAGTGTATTGGTTGTACTCCCTTATTAAGTACCATCTGTCTGCCCTCTGCCACATTCTTCTGGTACATGCTGTAGTCTGGTTTTTTTTTTTTTGGTCTTTTTGAAGCAGAGTCTCCCTGTAGCCCCAGCTGTCCTGGAACTCTCTATGTAGAACAGGCTGGCCTTGAACTCACAGAGATCCGCCTGCCTCTGCCTCCCAAGTGAATCACCACGCCCGGCAGTCTGGTTTTTAAAGATTAATTTACATACAAAGTAATGGGTTTGTTTCATTACTCTGAATTTCTGTGTCCTTTCCCCAAATTCATGTTGAAATCCTAATCCCTAAAGTGATGACCTTAGAAGGTTGGGCCTCTGGTAGGTGATTAGATCATGAAGTGGGGTCTTCTTAAATAAAATTAATATCCTTATATAAGGAGAGTAAATGAGCAAGTGTGTGTGTGTGTGTGTGTGTGTGTGTGTGTGAGAGAGAGAGAGAGAGAGAGAGAGAGAGAGAGAGAGAAAGGGAGGGAGGCAGGGATGGGGAGATATCAAGACCAAGACCTAGAGCTCATACCCCTCTTATCATGAGGTCACAAAGAGAAAGCTGTTCTATAAACTAGAAGTGTTTCCTAACACTGAATCTACTGGCACCTTGATCATGGGTTTCTCAGCCTTCAACCCATGAAGAACAAATTTCTGTTGTTTACAAATCACCCAATATGTGAGGCTTTGTTTCAGCTGCCTGAATGGGTCAGGTAGTACCTCTGTGTCTCACTTCCTACATAGACGGCAGTTTCACTTTGTCTTGTGTCCTTGGAAGTTGTGGAAAAGAGTATATCCCAGGGGCAAAGAGTTGCAGCCTGTTCCTGCTTCACCGAGCCTTACCCTATTGTTAGAGAGAGCCCTAGAGACTTAAAAAGATGGAAAGAAGGCTTAATCAGCCATCCAGGAAGTCTTTATTTTTTCTAGCTGGTTGCTTTTCCAGAGCTTGTCCCCTCTGGAACAGGGTTGGGGTGGCAGCACAGGGAGGGTGCCCATGGGGCTACGCAATTCTTCTCTTCCATACTGGCTCTATGCTTACGGCAGCATCAGGCATTTTAGAGCCCTCTGCCTAGCTTGGGCTGCGGAGACTATAGTGCCTTTTAGAGGACTTAGGAAAGTAGAGGTGCAGGTGTACCAACCATAGGGTTAAAGAAGGAGAATGCCTGTGTAAGGCTAGGCAGAAGAATTAAGAATTTTAACATCAGCTGCAGCACTGAACTTAATTTTGTTGGTTTTTTTTGAATTTCTTTTTTGTTTTTGAGGCAGGGTCTCATTTAGTCCAGGCTAGTTCAGAACTCCTGCCTCCATCTCCCAAGTGTTGGATCACAGTCTTGTGTCACCATGCCCAGCAGTATTGCATGTTCTTCAGAAAGTTGCCAGAAGCAAGAGGCCAGTCACTCACCAGGACCAGCTCCTTGGGGCTTCTATTGAGGGCTGGTGTCAGCCACAGCTGATTTAGGAGCTGAGGACCAGACAGCCGAAAAGGTGTCTCACCTTTTGTCCCCATCAAGTAGTCCAAACTGGATCAAGGAAAACTTAGGATTTGTCTGACTTTCTGGGGTGTACAGTTGAACTCTGGGGACCCCTGAAAATTGTGTTGATGTTGAGATGGATGAGGGCTACAGTTTGGTCACAGCCACATGCTGCATGGAGTGGTGATATGTTTGTGAAAACAGTCAAGCTGTCCAGGTGTGCTCTGCAAACACAGGCTGAGGAGGGTGCAGAGGAGGGTTTTTTTTAAAACCAGACTGAACCCTTGTCTCCTCTTCTCTTTCTTTGGTACTTCATGGGCACCTAGGGCACAGGGCTCCTGGTTTCTGAATGGTCCTATACATTCACTCTTCCCAAGATTCCAAGCAATATTGTAAAGCTTTTTTTTTTTTCTTAAAGTAAAGAATCTCTCTATGTAGTCCTGGCTGGCCTAGAAGTCAAAATGTAGTCAAGACTGGTCTCAAACTTACAGAAATTCTCCTGCTTCCATTCTTAAGTGCTGAGATTACAGGCATGCATAGACTCTTCAGAGATTTCAATTACTAGTTCTGGTTATATCTGCATATCCTATGACACATGTGGAGGCAGGGTCAGTCAAGGTCCTTGTTCTCTTCTGAGGGGGTCATCTAGCACTCACAGATCTAGGGGGAAGAACAGTTTGTGTGGAATGTTGAAGATTTGACCAAGGGCAGACCAGACTTTTCCCAGCTCTTGTTGCATTTGGCCTATGCTTTGGCAAGGCCTGGATGGAAGAGGATCCTGGAATCACCATCTTGCTAGCCAGCCGGAGGAATCAGCTGGAATGACTACCAGGAACTTCTCTGATTTTATGATGGCAGCAAAGTATTGGCCCTTTATGTGATCAACAAAGGAGAAAGCACTTTAGAGAAGACCAACACCTCAGCTTCTTTCTCAGTCTTCACCATGTGCCAGCGCCTATCTGTAAGTTCAGAGCCACAGGAAGCAGCCCTATTATAGTCCATTGGGGACCTCTGGAGAAGGTAGAGGAGTGGTCAGTGGTCAAGACCTGTGGTTTGGCCCCTTGTGCTTGTTGAAGCAGTTTCCTGGGATTGTAGGTGTTCACTACTGAGGCACTCCTTCCCTGTGCCCATGCAGGGAGTATCCCAGAGCACATAGCCCATTTCCCCAGACCCACTGGCCCAGACTTGAGGAAAGGTTGGCCCCTGGGCTTGTGGAGAGGCAGAGGTCAGGGGCTGGAATCCTGGGGCAACTGGGCTGCATACAGGGCCAAAGTATGGTGCAGGAACTGGTACTGCTCGGCAGTCTGGATCATACCCCCTCTGCAAGCAGAAGCATACCATGAGGAAAGGTCAAGGACACCCTCCCACAGGCTGTGGCCAAGCATTCCCCCTCATTGTCCTCTTGAGAAAATTTTGACTCTCTTCTTCCTATTCAGTCACCTTTTTTCACTTCCTGTTCCACTAAGGGGGAGGTACCCCACCTATACACTTGGTCTTCCTCCACTGACCTAGCTCCTGAGCAAAACTAGACCTGATAGGGGCCAGGAGTGTTCCCAAGTTCATGTTTTCCTCTTGTCAATAATCTTGAAACTATAAACACTAACCCCACATGTGTATAGCAGGTCCCATTTCTGAAACACTGTCCCAGAAGTTAATCCATTCTTCCTGACAAGTGGAGAAAGAGTCATTCCCTCTCTGGATAAAGAATGGAAGCTATAGAATTCTGGTGACAGCTCAGTAGCATTCTAACTCTGCTCCTCCAAGCCCAACGAATGCCTATACTTTACCTATAGTGACCTTATCTAGAACCAATTGTATCTTAAAAAATCAAGACAGGATCACCTTATGGAGTTCACACTAGCCTTAACTCACTGTGGAGACTCACATTAGTTTTGAATTTATATTCTCCTGCCTCAGCTTCCTGAGAGCTGGGATTACAGACATGTACCATCATGTTTGGCCATGACTGTATCTTGTTTCTCAACTTTCCTCTTAGTAAAGAATTTGGAAAAAAGTTTTTTTTAAAGGTTAGGTGGTATATTTAATTTGAGGCCCCCAAGCTAAAATTCCAGATAGAAAGCCTTTCCTGGGGAGCCTAGTTATTAGAAAATAGAAAGCTCTTTAAATAAAAAGGTTTCTTGCTTTCCTGCTTTCCTACAGGAGTACCTGAAATTGATGTTCCCAACAGCCTAGAACCACCAATGTCACTGACAATTTATGTGACTAGGCCTGCTTCCTGTGGACCCACCTGTCTAAGCGCAGTTGGCATACAATACTCAGAATGTCCACTTCCCCTCGGGCCTTCAGCTGTTGGCAGCCGATGCGGGTGGCGATGAAGCAGCCTGTCCGGCCGATCCCTGCACTAGATATAACCAGGGAGAAGATAAAGAAATCACAGGAGACTGGGGGAACAGGGGAGACAGGTAAGCAAAGAAGATAGAGCTAAGCTCTGGACTATGAAGGGAGAACTGAGACCAAAGTCCAGGCTCTATTCATGAGCCCTCTGGTTCCTCTGATTCTAGTGCCCCACCAGTGCTAGAGGCTGATCAGGGCTTGTCCTGGAGAAGCCTGTGCTTCTTACTAGCCTTACTCTCACTCTAGTCCAGATTATCTTCTGCCTTCTGGTTCCTGTGGACCTTTTTTTTTTTTTTCTTTTAAACTTTGTTTTTGAAGTGGGGTGTGGTGGCACATGCCTTTAGTCCCAGCTCTCTGGAGGTGGAGGCAGGGGGAATCTCTGTGAGTTCAAGGCCAGGCTGTTCTACATAGTGAGTTCTGGGCCAGCTGGGGCTACAGGAGACCCTGTCTCAAAAAGATCCCCCCCCCCAAAAAAAACTTGTTTTTGAGATAGGGTCTCATGGTCCAGGCTAGCCTGGAACTTCCTCTGTTCTGTAGCCCGGGTTGGCCTTGAATTCCTGATCCTCTTACCTCTACTCCTAAATGCTGGGATTATAGGTATGCACTACCATGTCCAGTTTTTATTTTTGGTTTTTTAAGAAAGAGTTTCACTCTGTAGCACAGTGTGGTATGGAGCTTATTATGTAGGCCAAACTTGCTGCAATCCTCCTGAGTAGTGGGATTGCAGGAAGGCCACTATGCCTGGCCTTTTTTCCATCCAGTTTTAAAAAATTATTTTTATTTATTTATATACATGCCACTGTGTCCTTGTGGAGGTCAGAGAACAACTTGCAGGAGTTGGTTCTCTTCTTCTACCATGTGAGTCTGAACTCAGGTTGCCAGGCTTGGTGGCTTGTTCCTTTAACCCACTAAGCTATCTTTCTGGCCTCCAGTTTTCAACTGAAACAGGGCCTGGCCATGTAGCCCACACTGACTTAAATTAGCGATCTGCTTCAGCACTGAGTGTGCTCAGCACTAGGGGGCACCACACCCATCCCCTGTACACATTTTGATGATCCCTTCTCTGCTTGCTGTCTAACTGACAGTGCTTGCCTGTGTGCTGGCTGGCCCTCTGAGCCTTCCTTATCTAACCATGACTTCCTCCCAGCTCCCACTCAGCTTCCACAGCTGCCCTTGGACCTCTATCTCCTACCACCATTTCTCGGCTCTATCACCTTGAGATTTCTTTCTTTTCTTCCCCCACATCCCTTTCTTCCTTCCCTTTCTTGATTTCGAAATCATCCCCTTTGGCAAGTCTTACATGTGCCTGTAATAGAAGTCACTAGTTACTCCCAGCACTTCTGTATTAATGATCTCTGCATGGGTCTAGACATAACCTCCCTGTGTGCACTTTTGGGGCTTCTTTTCTCTTCTTTTTTCTTCGCTTCCCTTCTCTTATTCTCCTCCTCTTCTTCCTTTTCTCCACCCCCTCCCCCATGCCCCTGACATGGTCTCATATAGTCCAGGCTGGTCTCAAACTCACTATGTAGCTTAGATTGGCTTTGAACTCCCCTGATCCTCCTGCTTTCACCTCCCAGGTGCAGATTGCAGGAGTGCACTATCATGCTTCGTCCAAGCATTATTTTTTTTAAATATTTTATTTATTATCTTTATTTTATGTGTATGAGTGTATTGCCTGGATGCGTGTAAGTGCACCCATGTTATATTGTGCAATGCTGGAGGAGGTCAGAAGAAGGCGTCAGATTCCTTGGAACTGGAGCTACAGTTGGTTGTTAACCACCATGTGGATGTTGGGGATCAAACCCGGTTCCTCTCTAAGAGCAGTCAGTGCTCTTAACTGCTGAGCCATCTCTCTAGCCGCCCCCCCCAAGCGTTATTTTTAAATGGTAAATCTGGAATGTTCAATTAAATTCCTAGCATCAAAATAAACAAATAAATAAAAATATAAAATAAAATAAAATGGCAGCTCTAAGTGTCTTAGTCCTACAAGGCCCCTTCCCTTCATGTAGCCTTCACCTGCCTTCCAGACTTACTTCCCATCAACATCCCCATGTATGAGCCCCAGGCCCATCCTCTGACTCTGCTTCTAGCAATGTATCAATTTCCTCCCTGGGTATAGCCTTCCCTGAACACTCCTCCCCCTTCACTTGGCTAACTCCCCTGCAGATGTTAGAGCGGCTTGAATGTCTTTTCTCTTGGAGAAACTTTTCTGGCCCAAGTCTGGGTTAGATGACCTGATCTTGTGCTCTCTTTGCATTGTTTAATTGTTTAGTCTGATGTCCTTCCCACCAGGTTATAAACTTGTCAGGGAAGAAACCAAATTGTTTTGTTCACATCTAATGCTGTGCCCAACAATAGCAATATAGGTTTTCAATAAATCTATTATAGTGCATGATGTAATCCCAGCAATTGGGAGGCTGAGGCAGGAGGAGTACCATGAGTTTTATGCCAGCTTGGGCCACATAGTGAGTTCAAGGCCAGCCTGGGCTACAAAAAAGAGTTTCAGGACAGCCTGGGTTATAGAGAAAACCTGTCTCAAAAAACAACCCTCTCCCCAAACCCCTAAGCAAGCAAAAAAAAAAAAGTTGTCTAATGAATGACTCCCTCAAAGTAGAGGCCATGCTTACCTCCTCCCTAACTGACTATTCTTCTCTGGATTATGCCTGGGCTCTATAGGAAGGTGATAATAAGAATGGATCCCTTGAGTGTGGACTAGTCCAGGTAAGAATTGTGCCTATCTGGCACTGTGCTTCTGGGTGCCTTCCCACTAGAGACTCAGTGGGCAGGGGAGGTGAGCAGAGGACTAAGGCTGTGAAGAGGAAGGGTCCTCACCTGCAGTGAACCACAATGGGCCCAGAGTTGGCAGCTGTCTCTGGGCTATCCACCTCAGCTACCAGGCGCAGCAGGGGCCAGGCTGACTCTGGAGTCTGGTGGTCTGGCCAGGCTGAGAAGAGGATGTGCTTTACTGGCCGGTGTTCCTCTTGATGCTGCAGTAGAGATAAGGTGTAAGAACTAGGGTTTGGGTAGGGGTGCTGCCCACTTCTGGTGCCTGCAAGGGCTGGAATCACCTCTGGGGCCTGGTCATCAACTCAGAGTAGGCAAGGCTGACTCTTCCTGCTATCCTGATAGTTATCCTTCACCACAACCCACTCCAAAATTCAGGAAAGGAGCAGTGTCCTGGGAATGGGAGAGACCCAAGCTTAGGTCTTGGCTCCAGCTCTAGGACATGACTGTGGACAAGTACATTAACCTCATTTTCTCCCCCAGCAAGTAGGCACAGCGATCTTATTGGTTTACTTCCCAGGATACTTAGAAAACAATGAATTGATAGAGAAATAATTTGAAAGTATAATAAAATATGCAATTACAGAAAGCCCTTCCTTCTTTTCTTCCTTTGTTCCTTCCTTCCAGATGGAGCCTTGCTATGTTGTATGAGTCAATCCTCTCCTCTCGTCATGTGGGTTCTAGAGATCGAACTCAGGTCATCAGGCTTGCAACAAGCACTTTTTCCCACTGAGCCATCTTGTTGGCCCCTAGGGAGCATTTTTAAAGCGTAGCCATGTGCATTATGACATGTCTTTTCCTACTCTTCTCACTCTAGCAGCACTCTCCTAGGTCTCTCCTCTCTTCTCCTGGGGGCCTGTATATTTAGAATGAGGAGTGGATGCTTCCTGATAGCCCCTCTTTGGTTTGCAGGCTCTTCTCTATTAAACCAGAGGCATCCTGAGGGCAGTACCCAAGTTTCTTTCTTTTATGGTATCTCTTTCAGACATGGGATCAAGGCTTAGATAAGTAAATTTGGTTCCCAGTGAAGGTGGAATCTGAGTTCCAGAGATGCTGAGGTGGCCCAGCCTCCTGTTGGTTTGGTCCAAGGGATGATACCTGGATGGTGAGCTGCCGCACAGTATATTCTGGATGTTCTTTCACGTCCTGGATGCAGATCCGGAAAGGCCCATAGGTTTCCTCTTCTGTGGGCCAGTAGTGGACACATTTCTAGGAGGGAGGAAGCTGGGAGTCAGAGGGGGAGGGTCCATCAGTGGAGCAAGCTTAGGGCAACAGAAAGGAGGCAGTGTCCCCTTCCCATACTTCTCCCCCTGTGCCAGGTCAGTGACTTGAGCCTGGCTCTCCTGAACTTGAACTCTGCAAATGAGGTGTTCACCCTATCACATTTTGGCTGTTCTCTGGGACCTTCCTGAGAGGTGTGGGCTGGTTGTCTGTATGGTAGCTCTCAGTGCGGCTTCTGGTCTGCTCTGCATGTATGTAGGGTGTAGCCCTGTCTGGGTTCACCACAGCCTGTGACCCGGCTTCCTACCTCCTTGCCTTCTCGGAGCTGGGTGAGCATGACAATGAGGCATACTCCTTCTTGCCACACCATCTCCCAGAAGTCTGCCACAGTGTTCGGCATGGGGCCCTGGGTGGCAATGTAAACCTTCTCCTGCCCATCGTAGCCCTGGGGAGGTGAAGCATAGAGGGGTGAAGATACTATGAGTTTGGACTCCACGGGTACTGGGATGGGGCTAAAGCTACTGAACATTAACATCTAGACACACGCATGCATGAACACACACATCAGAAGCTACATGCTAGAAAGGATGCGGGTTCCACAGTGAGGAACATCTGATTCAAAGCTCTATTCTGCTGGTGCCTAGCTGTGAGACTAGAAGCACATTTCCTAGCCCCTGTAAGCCTTGTTTTCCTAATCTACAGACTGGGCCTAATGTTGCCTACCTTGTGAGAATGCAGTGTGAATTAAACTCAGTAAAATATATTGAGAGTCTATCACACAGCACACATGGTATCCGTGTGCATTCCTTTCATCCTTTGCTTTCCTCTAGTGCAAAATATCAAAACAGTGTTCGACATTTGTGAGTGAATATTTCATTTAACTTTCATGAATTACTTTTATATATTTGGCAGCAAAATCCATCACCCTCTCCTAATCTGTTTTTCTCCCTTTCAGCATCCTCAGTTTCCTGTCCCTCAGGATGAGGGTGGAATGCAGCTCACTGCCTGGTCCAGCTGGCAAAGGAAAGACTACCTTTCTACTATGCTTTCTGGCTGACAGCTTTTCTCCTCTGCACTCTGACTATTGTCATTCCACCCTTTGGCCTTGAGAGGGAACTACTTTTTTTTTGGTCTTTTCAAGACAGAGTCTCCCTGTATCCCTAGCTGCCCTGGATTCACTATGTAGACCAGGCTGGCCTCAAACTCACAGAGATCCGCCTGCCTCTGCCTCCAGAGCGCTGGGATTAAAGGCTTGCACCACCATGCCCCTTCGAGAGGGAGCTACTTTTACATCTACCTACCAAGAGGAGGTGAGAAGTTGGGGTAGAGTGCCCACCTTGCCTTGAGGGTGTTGTTAGCTGAACATCAATCAAACTGTCTCTACAAAGGAGGTGCTGCTTGGCCATAGGTGGGAGGGGAGATGGTAGAGATGAAGATAGTTCACCTGTGCTGGACTTCTCATGCAGATTTCAGGAGTCACTAGACTTTAATTTTTTAAATTAAAAATTGATTTACTTTTATGTCAGTATTTTGCCTGCACGTATGTAAGTATACTGATAGGTAAAAAGTTGGCGAAGAACGAGCAAATGGATGATGAGGCACCGAGGCACAGCTAAAACTCCATCAAAATAGGGTTTATTAGCAAAAGGAACACATGGAGCAGATTCCCTTCCGGGCAGGGAAAATGTCTGACCAGGTCTTGAGCTGGGGTCTTTTTAAAGGGGAGGCTTCTGCTTCCTGCAGAAGGCTGGAAGATGTAATTTTTTTTAAAGTTGGAGGGGGGTAGTGGGAGAGCAGGACTGTTAAAACCTGTCCTCTTTGGAGATCAAAGGGGAAGCCTGCTGTGTTGGCCAAACAGTGGAGAAAAGTATGCTTCTCTCGACTTCAAAGACCAAGGTGCTCATCAGCTAGGTTCCCTTTTCTCAGGAGCATGAGAAGTCCTTGGGATCCTGTTGGTAAGGAGGCAGGGCTATCTGAACCTTAACATATACTACATACTGCCAATGTCTGTGGAGATTCCCCTGAAACTGGAGTTATGGATGGTTGTTAACCACCATGTGGGTGTTAGGAACTGAACCCAGATCCTCTGGAAGAGCAGCCAGCACTCTTAATTGCTGAGCCTTCTGTCCAGTTCCTTGTTTTGTTTTATTTTATTTTATTATTTTATTTTATTTTATTATTTTGTGGGTATGAGTGTTTTGCCTGCATGTATGTAAGTGTCAGATCTCCTAAAACTGGAGTTATGGATGGTTGTTAGCCACCATATGGGTGCTGGGAACTGAACCTGGGTCTTCCGCAAGAGCAGCCAGTGCTTTTAACTGCTCCTTTTCAGGAACTGTTGACATCTGTTCTTTTCTAGGTTGATGTCTTGGGGGTGTCCCCAGCCTGGCAGAACTATGGCTGTTGGAGCTAGAGTGGGCAGGGACACCAGGCCCTTGAGCACCAGTCACAGCTGAAAGATACCATGTGGCATTTTCATTCTCCAGCACTGCCTCCCCCCACTGCTGCCACAGCCAGCCACTCACTCGGATGTAGTTGGCATTGATGTAGTCACCATCCTCCTGGCTCTGTGCCCGGCCAAGACAGACACGGCTCTGAGGATCTAGGAAGGGAAGATCAATGAAGGTGAAAGGTCAGAAGATGATCCACTAATGCAATGAGCCACTAACAGAGTCAGAGAGAAGAGTGTTCTAACACTCTTTTTCACAGTACTTTGTGGACAGCAGGTGTCCAACTGAATTAATTTATAGACAGGTAATGGCATACCTATGTATTATAATATAAAATATATTATTTCATGAAATAGGGAGCTACAAAATGTTTTGAGGAAGAAAGTGACATGATCAGGCAATAATCTAGGAAGATTAACTGATTGATGACGTATAGGACAGACCAGAGCTTCAGAGACCAAACAGGAAGTGATCATAATATTGTAAACTAGCCAGATGGAAAAAAGAGATGCTGCAGTGGGAGAGCCTTTCTCTGACTATGAATACAAACTTCAGACGAATACATTGCCTAAGATGTCACTCATTGCTGAGTAAGGCTATTGGTCTTTCCCTTCAAAGGTATGGGGCTTTTCCAAACTAACTGGATGAGGGATGCAGGAACTGGCTTGTGAGGAAAGGAGAGGAGAATCTCACCCTTCTGTGTCACTTGGCTCCCCCTCTTTGATGGTTTCAGGGCTGGTTAAAATTAGGTTAAGGCCAAGGGCTGCTGGATCCCACATGGACTAGTGCTCAAAGAGCCCTGATGCATTCGAGCCAGCAGAGAGCCTGGAGGCTCAGCAGGGGGCAGAATCCAAGTGCTGGGCCTCAGGACTGGAAAGAGTAGGCACCAGGCCTCAACCCTGCCTCTGAAAAGTAGGAAGTGCTAGGCCTGTAACTGTCAGCTTGAGTTCATGTCTACCATCCAGGTCCACAGTAAGCATCTGCAAAGGTTATCTTGCTACTGCTGTGACTGCTGTTCCTTTTCTGGTATGCCAGGGTGCAGCACTGGCATTTCTCGGTTGAAAGACAATGTTTCCAATACTATTGTTCCTCCTTGGCTGAGGTGTGCTTTTTTTTTTTTTTTTTTTTTTTTTTTTTTTTTTTAGGGTGTTGTTTTTTTTTTTTTTTTTTTTTTTTTTCGTCTTTTTGAGACAGGGTCTCCCTGTAGCCCCAGCTGTCCTGGAACTCACTATGTAGACCAGGCTGGCCTTGAACTCACAGAGATCCACCAGCCTCTGCCTCCTGAGTGCTGGGATTAAAGGCGTGTACCACCACGCCCAGCTATTTTTTTTTTTTTTAAGACAGGGTTTCATGTAACCCAGGTTGGCCTAAAACTCCTCAATATGTAGCTGAGGCTGACCTTGACTCCTGATCTCTGCCTCCACCTCCAAGTGCTAGGATTATACGTGTACACCATTATGTCAAGGTATGCATCTTGACTCTGAAATTCTTCAGCCCCCAAGGACAGTGCCCCCTCCATCCCCAGTGGAGTCCTTACTTGGCAAGATGGTCTTGTATCGATCCTTGGAGGCATGACCAGGGATATCCAGGTCTTCAGGGTTGACAAAGTTTGAGGGGATCTTCTGGCAGGGGGGAAGTGAGTTAACAGCTGGTCTCCCTTCCCAGCCTCTTTTTCTTTTCTTTTTGTCGTTTTGAGACAAGGTCTCCCTGTAGCCCCAGCTGTCCTAGAACTGGGTGGCCTTGAACTCACAGAGATCTGCCTGCCTCTGCTTCCGGAAGGCTGAGATTAAAGGCATGCATCACCATGCCCGGCCTTCAGCCTCTTTTTCTCTCTCCCACCCTTTGCTGGTAGAGTTGGGCCTTGCCATTCCTTTGGGCATTGGCAAATATGCCTAGGTATGAGACAGAGCAGAAGAGCATGAGTGGGGACAACTTTCTCTCCTACAGTCTTGTCCCTGGGGGCCTTAGAAAGGAGACAGGCCCAAGGAGTTCATGATGGCATGGCCGGCTAGCTGGCTGCCTCTGATATGGAAGGGCAAAGTGACATGAAGGGGCCCCTAATTCTTACCAGGAATTCCTCTTCCAGCTGCTTGGGGCTGGGTGGCTGATGCTGCAGGACCCAGCGTGTAAGGGGGTGTCCGGCTGTGCGCAGAAAGTGCAGGGTGACTTCTCGGGGTGTGTTCACTGAGCAGATGGGTTCCACAGTGCCCAGGGACCTCACATCCAGCATCAGAGCCACACTGGAGCCCCGCCTGCAGGCATAGCCAATCAATGCCCAGTGAGCACCCCATAGAATCTGCTTTTCTTGTTACAGGGCATGTCTGAGGAGGGCACATTCTGTCTTTTTCTTGATCCAGAGCCCCAGAGTACTCAGGGGGTCAAGACTTTGCTCTATCCCCTTCTCCCTTTGTCAGCCAGAACAGAACAGCCTGCAACTGCCCCTTCTAGCTTCATACCTCTTTCTACTCCCAAGATGGTCCTGAGGTTGCAACCTACACCCAGGGGCCTTGCCCAGACTGTTCATCACAACCTGAAATTTAGTAGTCCCAGAGATGACATGAAACTTGGTTCTTCAGACATCGAAAAGACATGCAAAAAACATGTAAATGAACATTATTGGTCTCCTCTCCAGGCCTTGTGAACTCAACTGTTAGAGCTGGAAGTCTGGGTACAAGGAGGGGAAGAACTGAAGGCCACTCAGGGCTGAGAAAGAGCTCACCTCTCCTGTAGCCGCACATGCTTCTTGGCTGGTGCTTTGGCAGGTGGAGGCTGGGTCATGGCTGCCTCCAAAGACCAGGTCAGTGGCTGTGCTCTGGATCTCCCCTCACATGCCTGGACCATGCTGGGGTGGGGTGCTGGGCCCAGGGGAGGCTCACTCAGCCATGAGGCCTTCCTGAAAGACAAAGTCCCATAACTGATGGCCTATGGTCTGATTTATTGGCCAGAAGGAGGTGCCTAAGCCCAGGCCAGTCATCTGCTTGGTTTTTCACTGGGGTATCTTCTCCTCCCCAGGAAGTGGCCTCATTTTCACGCTGTAAGTATAGGGTGAAAGTATAGGCTCTTTCTTGGGACTCAGGATAGGGGATTGTCTGGGGTTAGAATAGTGGAGAGATGAAGAAGGTGTGGATGAAGGCAGGAAAGAATCCAGAAGGGAGAAGAGAAGAGCTATTCAAGGGTCCAAGTGAGACAGAGGAGGAGATATAGCACATTGCCTACCAAACAGAAGGAAGGGAGAAAGCTCACAAGACTGGCTCAAAGTCTAGCCAGGAGCCTTCTCCAGAATGAGAAACTGAGGCCTCTAGTAGGGTTGGAGCCAGTGGAAACCTAGGCATATCAAGCCTCTGGCTTCTAACAGGGTCCGATCCTAAAAGCTGGCAGCTGCTGGCTTCTCACAGGGTCTGATCCTAAAAGCTGGCAGCTCCATTCCATAATCAGTTGTAGCTTCTGGGGTCTCTGTCCAGGGCGGTAGGCTGGGGGTGTTTCCTTCCTCCTCCTACCCATCCCCCAGTCTCCCGCCTCTGTAACTGTCACAGGAAATGGCCTCACCAAGCCCTTGAGCGACACAGCTCTTGGTGAGGCGACAGCTGGGGGCATAAAAGAGGGGACATAGAGGTATTGAGGACCTCCTTTTGGGAGCAGTCCCTATGCCCTTGAGCTAGGTCACAGGTGCCAAGGTGGTGGGGTTAGAGCTGCTAACCCACAGGGACAGTGGCTTGGGGATGTTGTGAGCCCATGCAGGTGTGGTGGTGAGTTCTTCCACAAGAGGTGGAAGAGGGGTCCCTTTGATCTCTCCTATTTGATATTACATATTACTTCTTTGCTCTCCAGCTTCAGGGACACCAGATGTGCCACTACTCATATCCTGGTCAGGCACGGTATCCCCAGACTCATTCTCCTTCACCCATTCTTGCAGATGTCCTCCTGTTTCCAGGGCTCCCCACATACCCCAGGGCCATAGGATGCCTGTGCCCACTTCAAGTACTTACTGAAGTATCTGTGTCCTGCAGGCTGCCTCTTCCCAGCTGTCTATCTGTCTGTCCGTCTGTCTTTGAGGGCCCAGAAGCTTCAGGAAGCCAGCTTCCTCCCTCCGCCCCTCCTGGCTTCCACCCACGTACACCCAGCTGCATGCTACCCTCCTGCGCCTGCTGCAGCTGCCACCAGGGGTCAGGTGCCTCCTCCTTGTGCCCCCTAGGAGCAGGCTGGTGATGTCTTGGCATCCTTGCCAGGTAACAAGGCCCTGGGAATGGACAAGGGATGGGGCCTTCCCTGACCACTTCAGGTTCCCGCTTTCCTCCTGCTTTGTTTTTCCTTTGAGTCCTTATCAACTGCTCCCTACTCCCCTACTGGGAAGTCACCCACAGGGAATCCCAGAGTGTTCCTGCTCAGCCTAACCTTGGCCAGAGACTCCTTTCTCTACCTACCTGCTTCTGCTCCTGAAAGCCCTTGCGGCTTCAAGCCTTGAAAATCCGTAGCCAAGCTCAAGCACTATCTTCCTGAGCAGATGTGTCACTGAGGTGCAGTGAGGGAAAGATGAGACAGTTCTTGCTCTGCATAGGAAGGAGGGATCCAGAGCTAGGCAGAAAGGTCACTTCCAGGTCCTGAGCCCTTTGGCTTGCACACATAGGCCTGCCACTAGGAAACCAGATAGCAGAGCCAAACCAGAGAAGAATCTTGGAGTGTTTCCCTAAGGGTCCCCCAGACTATTCCCTTAGGGCATCTCTTAGAACCCTGCATCTCTTCAGAAGACTTACAGGTAGATGAAGGCTGTGGCCCTCACACCAAGGACCTCCCATGTCCTCTTCACCACTGGGGCACTTGGATGCTTGGGCTCTGGGGAGTGGCCTCCAAGTCCAAGATTCCTTGGCCCTCCAGCCTTGCCTGGCTTTGAGAGGCCCCTTGCTGGCCATAGCCCAGCTGGTTTGTGATTTATGCTTTCTGCACAGCTCCTTCACCCTGTAACATCTCAACACCCTTCCCGGCCCCCAGTACATGCAAACTGTATCCTCTGTCTTCCTCCCACTTCTCTGATTCAACTGTCAAATGGTAACGCTAAAAAAGAAATGCAGTGCAATAGGCAGGGGGTGGCAACCCAAGAGAAGGTGGGGGAGAGGGGCCTGCCTTCTTCTGGCCCATGAGGAGAAGGTGAAGACCAAGGATGACCCTTTGGGGTCTGGAGGCTTCAGGCACCTGCCCCTCTCATTGGGAGCAGGTCAGGGGCAGGGTCTCCTGAGCTTCTTGGCAGGCTGATTCTGGCCCTCTCTTCTCTATAGCCCGTTCTCTGGGAAGTAGATGGACTTTCCTGAGGAGGAAGCCCACTAGAGCTGGGAATTGGTTGGCTCTGGTGAAGCCAAGATGAAGTGGAAGATGCAGGAGCCTGGGAATTCCTGCATACTTGTGGGCAGTGGTTCGAGACTGGCTTCTGCTGTGATGGTTCTAAAGCGGTGTGTGTTCTCACTGCCAGGCAGTGGAGACCCTACACTAGAGGAAGGGGCCTGAGTGGAGTGGAAAGAGGGCCATCAGCTCTGGGCTAGCTGTTGATTGTGATCAAGAACAGGAAGTGAGGATACCACAGGGGTGGGGAGAAGGAAGTAGGCAAAGCCCTCCCCCATAGGCCTGCTCAGTGCCCCATGGTTTTCACAATTTGAGCCTGTTGGCTATGAACACACCTCTTGCCCTTTACAGGTGGGGGCCCAGTGGCGTTCAAGAAGTTGGAGGCTGAGTTCTTGGGCAGAGAGCAAGGAAGGTGGGAGCTAGGAGATGGGGAAGGTAGGTAGTGGCATAAGGGTGATGCTAAGCATGAAGCAAGCCTGGAGGTTCTCTCTCCCATTTCTCTTGGGTGGCTTCTTGCCAACTCCCTTTCCCATTCTGCTCAGGAATGCCTGTGTATCCAGAGAAGTCTATGGCCAGAGCCTCCACCACAAGCCTCAGATGTGCCAAGACATGTGTCCTTGCCCTACATTCACCCCTCCCTGCTGTCTCTGGAGTAGGCTTGGCCTTATCCAGGCTGCTGGGAAGTTCCTGGAGGTGACTCCCCTTCTTCTGCAGAGCCTTCCCACACCTGGGGGGTACAGGAACCGTCTCACAAACTCCCATCACTCACGTTACTGACTTGTCTTCCTGGGTGGGATTTAGGTTCTAGTACCTTCCACTTCAGAGTGTAATGTCATAGTTCGAAGCCAGAAGGGCCTGTCTAATGAGCAAACTGATGCTTAGGGGCTGTGTGACCTTGGGCAAGTTACTGAGTTTCCTAAATCTTAGTCTCCCCAGCAGCTTTCTTCCTCTCGGGAAGATAATAGGGAAAAAACCCAACTCCTTGTCTGGAAGTGGAGTGAGGCCTGTGAAGTGCTTTGCCTATAGCCAAGTGCTTGGAACCACAGGCATGAGAAGTAGGAGAAACTGACTAGGGGTGTGAGTCAGGGAGCCCCATATGCAGCTGAACATCTCAGGCCATCCCTTTCCCCTTCCTTTCTTCAGCCAGCCTTCATCTTTTGGGAAAGTTTTACCCTAGCAGTGGGGAGACTATGGAAGGAGTCACTCCCAGCAGTCCAGAGTGGGCAGAGTCCCTCACTCTAGAGAAGGTGGAGAGTGGTGTCCTTAGACCCTAGCCCAAGCTGGAAAGGGGCTGTTGCAGGGCCAGGACACTTGTCTTACCCAACTGAGCCCCATTTGAGGTCGATCTTCTCTCTCTCCCTCCCCCTCCCCCTCTTCCTCTCCCCCTCTCACTCTCATTCTCACTCTCTCTCTGCCTCTCCTTTAGTGTGGTCTCCCTCTAATCATTACGAGCTCTGTGGGCTATGAACTACAACTCCTTGTCCCTAGATTTCCTCCAATTTCCAGAAGTCCTTGTTCCCTGCAGCTCCATGCCAGATAGCCATCAGCCCCCAGAGGCAAAGGCCTGTAACATTAACAGGACTCTTGGATATGAGTGGGAGTCGAGGTGGGGAGTGGGTAGGACTCCTGGGTCTAATACATTCTACCTTTCTGGACCCATCTTGAGCTGTCCTCCCTACTCTCTCTCTAGAGAAACCCTAAGATGCTAGGTGGCTGTTTCTGAGTGCTCCAGTCCCCCTCAAATACTGGACCTGCCTTGGCACTTACTCTTTCTTGACTCTGCAAGCCCAGGCTTGTCCCTGGCAGTGTGGGGGAGACAGAGCTCACTAAGGGAGACAACTGAAGAGACAGGGTGAGTGGAGTAGAGAAGTTAGGTCATGGCATTAGGCCTGGGTCAGCCAGCATGAAGGCTGAGGGGAAACTATAGCATGTCCCAGGCTGTACCTCTGTGACAGCCATCCTGGGTGTCACCTCCACCCTGACCCAGTTTTTTTCCTGTTACCTTTTGGATGCCTGCAGGTGAGGACTGTCTCATACCCCTCAGCATTGGTAGAAAGGACTAATAGCCCAAGCCAGCTCAACATGAGGGAACCAGGGCCAAGAGTACCAGGGAAGAGTCCTGTTCTCTGCCTCCTGCCAAACTCAGTGCCTTCACAGGATGACTTCAGGCCAAAGTAGATACCTTCCTTTCTCCCAGGCCCAGGGCCAGAGCAATGGACACCTGCCCCACAACTTGGCTTTCTCGCCAGGGGCCCTCTATCTCCTTCTCACTTGATTGTCCCTGAATCTGCAGATATGTCCATCCAAACGTATATGAGCACCTGGTGGCCCCTGTGAACATATATGCACATACAGTCAATCCCCACACTCAGCTGCCCCCTCTAGCCCTTCACTGACTTCCTTCAGCCTGCTCAGCAGAAGCTCAGCCTTCTCCATTCCCAGGTGACCTTCCCCAGGCTGTGGGAGGAAGAGTGGGTGACTTGTCCTCTTCTGCCTAGTAATTATCTTCCTCCAGCGTGGGGGATGCCCAAGGCCTGGTTTCAGGCTGAGGGAGCGCAGAGGAAGAGCCGGAAGAGCTGCCTGGGACAGCTGCAGGGAGAGACCAGAGCCAGTTCATCACACTGGGTACTGGGATGCCTGAACCTGTCTCCTACCTCCCTCTGCTTCCTGGCCAACTCACTCTGTAAGGAACTGGTAAGCTTGAGACCTTTGGAGGACCCCAGGGGTTCTCTAGGGAGAGGATGTGGGTTTGTCTGTGGGGGTGGCTGATGGAGAGTACATTTTTGCTGAATGGAGAAGCTTGGCCTTGGGTGGGGGTTGCTTCTTGTCTCTTAGAACCTTTTTCACTCTCTCTGGAGTCCCTCTCCTATCCCCAAGGCTGTCCCAACAGGGTATATGTGTGGAGGTGGCAGCTGGGCCTTCTATGACCAATTGCCTCCTCAAGGCTGGCTCCACAGGACTAGCTACAGAGCTTGTGCTGTTCTCACAGGCCTCTCTTTTTTAAGGACCCAAGAACCCTCTCTTCATCCATACCCATTCTTTGCTGTGTCTCCTCTGCTCAGATTCTGAATTAAGATGCTTTCACTCCACCTCTGTCCTTTGTGGCCGTTCATGGAGACTCTGCTAGAAGAAATGGAGTGAAATGTGCCCAGGTGAGATGGGGGAGGACCAGCATAGATCTCCCCCTACTTTTGGCCAGACTAGGGCCTGAGACTTCTCCCATTTCACATGAGTTTCCCTGGTTGCTAGCTCCCCTCCCTGCCTCTTTTAGAAGTTACATGTATGCATATGCACACACACACACACACACACACACACACACACACACACACACACACACACCACACAGAGCCTGGAAAATATGATGAGTCTGCAGTGCTGAGTTTCCAGGACTCCATCCAGGCTGGTGGGCAGTTCTGAGGTTTGGAGCTGGGCAGGGCAGGGCAGGGGGTTAGCTCCGGGGTGGGGGGCAGCCCCTGGCACTGGGCAGAGGGAGGGGACAGGCAAAGCTGGTTTCTGGTGCAGCTTGGGCTCCCTGCTGAAGCAGGCTAGGAGGAGTCTGTCCCTGTTCAGAGGCTGTCTTGGTGTTCGGAGTTTGTACCTGTCTGTTTTCTGCACAGCCCTCCCGCCCACCTCCTGAGGGTGCTAAGTTCCAGGCTTCCTTCCCAAGGCCCAGAGGGTTGACTCTACTCCTTCCTGTCCCAAGGCTGACTTGCTGTGGGAGCACCTGGGTGAGCTACACCAGGTGAGCAGTTGGCTCTGGGTGCGTAAGCAGCAGAGCCTGAGTTCCTGTCTTCTTCCTGGGCCTTTGCAGTGCTTGTGGGGTTGGAAGAGGGAGCCAGGTGGGTACTGCTGACCTAGCTAGAAGTAGGGGGAGGCAAGCAACATCCCTAGGGATGTGAGTTACTCCCAGAAGCTTCCAAGTAAAGAAGACTGGACCTGGGACTGGAAGTAGTACCCTTTGACATCTCTGTTCTTTGGAGTCAGAAGCCCCAGGTTCAAGTCCAACTTCTTTCCTCACACATGTGGGCCCTCAGGCTGGACTGTCTGGATTTCACCTTCCTTAACTGGGCAGTGAGGAACATGACAGTTGAGTTCCAAAGGCCTACTCTAGATCCAGATGCTGTGCTTCTGTGCCTCTGACTACTAGAGCATAGTTAGGCAAAGGGAGACACACACTTAGCTGGCTCACCTAACCCATGTGACCAGACCTCCCCCTCACCCCCCTCCCCAACTTAAACACTGTCTATCAGGAAGGCACTTGGAAGAGAGTCAATAGACACCCAGCCCTCTCTCAGAGTCAGAATGTGGAGGAGTTAGCCACCTCCTCTCTGTGTTCATTTGCAAGGCCATCAAGCCTCTCAGTTTTCCCCAAGAGTACAAGGCATTTTTCTTCCTGGAGAGCTAACTGCTGAAGTCCAGCAGTAAGGCAGAGGGAGGAGGTGGGCCTGTGGACAACCTGAGAGCTAAAGTCCCCTTCCAACTTCAGGACCAGAGCCAAAGTCTCCTCTCTCTCTTCTGGCTGCCTTGCCCAGGTCAGGCTGGGGTGGGGTCAGAGTCTGGGCTGAGAGGCTGCTTGATGCCTGCTGCCTGCTTGAAACTCTACCCTTGTCTGTAGGGCAAGGGGAGGGTGAGGGGTATGGCTCCACCTTCTGTTGCCTCCCAATTTTTTCTCTGCAGATTTCATCAGGATGAGGTCCCTGATTCTATTTGCTGCCCTCCTATGTCTCCAGGGCTTTTTGGCTGAGGTAAGGTGGGCATGGGGTTGGGTATAGGAAGGTGGGGTTGTGGGTCTGCTCTCCAAGGCATGTCTAGGCTTTCCTAGACCTTTGTGGAGCTCCACAGTTGGTCTGCATTAGGGGAGAAGGGAAGCTGCTCCCTTCCCACCCAGGCCAGCATAGAGGCCAGGAGAACAGTTTGCTGTAGTCTGCTTAGCTGCCGGCTACCGCCTGCCACCCGTACAGTGGCATGCCTCCAGGAAATGCCCCTTCAGTGGTATGTAGGGGTGAGTCAGGCAGGGAATAGTCTCTCTGGTCTGAATCCTCCCCCACTGGCTTTTCCAGAAGCCTGGGCCTCAGAGGCCCCTGCCCATCTGCTTGCCCTGCTCCTCTCCTTTCTACAGGAAGATGCATGCCTCTCCCTGGAAGGGAGCCCAGACTGGCAGGATGGAGGTAGGTGTCTTCAGAGAGGCCTCTAGAGGTGGGCAGTGGGGGAGTGGTGTAGGGCTAATTTCTCCACTAGACTCTGCCTCCCTCTGGCCCCTGGTCTTGCCTTCCCTTCTTCAGGCCAGCAGGGATACTAGGAAACTGATTGCACACACCCCCTGTCCCCCAGGTCAACCCCTGAATGTGAACATCAGCAGCCAGGGGAGGCCTACCAGCCTGTTTCTGAGTTGGGCAGATGCAGAACCAGGTGGGTTTAGCCATGCCCTCCGCCTCACAAGTCTGACCCCCCTGGGCTTCCCAGAAGGGCAGCAGCAGCTCCAGGCTCACACCAATGAGTCCCGTTTTGAGTTCCATGGCCTGGTGCCAGGGACTCACTACCAGCTGGAAGTGACTGCTATAAGACCCTGCAGGCGGAATGCCACGGTTACCCTCATTGCCCAAACTGGTATGATGCTTTCAGGCTGATGGGGAGGGGACTTATTGGGGGTTGGGGAGGAGGTAGCTGCTCTAGGGGGCCAGCAGGGGGCAGAGAAGCCAAAAGGGACAAGTCCAAGGAAGGCGAGGCCTTTGGCACAGACCTTGGTGCTTCTTTCTGCCTTTGACACAGCGCCATCAGTGGTTCGTGGACTGCAACTGCACAGCTCCGGGAGCCCAGCCAGCCTGGAGGCCTCATGGAGTGATGCCCCTGGGGAGCAAGACAGCTACCAACTTCTCCTCTACCATCTGGAATCCCAAACACTGGCATATAATATCTCTGTGTCCCCAGGCAACCTGTCGTACAATTTTGTCAACCTCTTGCCAGGCAGTCAGTATGTTTTGGAGGTTATCACCTGGGCTGGAAATCTCCAGGCAAAGACTTGCATCTACCAGTGGACAGGTAAGGCAGACAGCTCCAGGTGGCAGCCAGTCTGGGGGAAGTGGGAGTGAGGTTGAGCCCAGGGCCCTTCCTCAAGCGAGATTTTTCTCTGTCCATGCTTCCTGCAGACCCTATGCCTCCAGATCACCTGCAGCTACGTGCCTTGAATACCAGTGACCTGCAAGCCTCCTGGAACAACTCCGAGGGGGCCGCCTGGCTCAACCTGGTGCTCACAGACCTCCTAGGGGGCACCAACTTGACTGCAGTGGTCAGACGAGGGGTCTCAAGTCACACATTCCTCCACTTGTCACCGGGTACACCTTATGAACTGATGCTTAGTGCTGCTGCCGGGCCCCACCAGATTGTGGGGCCCAATGCTACCGAATGGACTTGTAAGTGCCTAGGGGTCACAGCAGAGGCTGGTCCATTCGTCTCTGGCTAAGTAGTAAGGAGTAAGGCGCCTCTGAGGATATGCCTTCTGATTGGCCTGTGGCAGGCAAGGGTCTGAGAGGATAATAGTGGTAGTAATAGTTAAGAGTTGAACCCTCTTCAGGTGGGTTCTGAGCCTGGCACTTTCTGGGTATGGTTTCATTGAATCCTCCATACAGTTTGATGTAGGCCTTGTTGCTTTATGCTACTGTAGAAGGCACAGAGAGAGCCTGAACTCAAGGTTACACCGTGGATAAATGTGACTCTGAACCTTGGCTGGACACCTGTAAAGTCCACATTGCTTCTGCTGCCATGGTACCATTTTTTTCCCTATAGGAAGCAGTTGTGGGATGCCCAAGTTCTAAGTTTTATTTCTGTTACCTATTGGCTGTGAGTCTCTGGGCAAATTGTTTACTCTTCTCTGAGCTTTATGATTAGAGTTCTGAGGATTAAGTGGGAGGTACTCAAAATTTTATTTTTGATTGATTTATTTTTATTTTATGTGTATGAGTGTTTTGCCTCCAGTATGTATGTTAATGCACTCATGCAAAGCCCACAGAAGCCAGAGAGGGCATCAGAGCCCCTGGAACTGGAATTATGGATAGTTAACTGCCATGTGGGTGCTGGGAATCAAACCTGGGTTCTCTGAAAGAGCAGCCAGTGCTCTTAACCTCTGGAAGTACTCTTTTTGTAGAGTCCTTCAGACTGTGCTGGCAGGCACACATGTGAGCACCTAATGTGCTCTTATTTCTGTTACTGTTGTCCATGGCCACTTGGTTTTCATCTTGAATGTGGCAAATGGTGCTAATAACTGGATAAGATGTTGGCTTGTATGTGTAGAAAGCTGTTGGTACACAGAGGGTAGGGTTTTCTTATCCATTATATTTACCCCTTTCTCCTCAGATCCCTCTGCCCCATCTGACCTGGTGCTGGCTCCCATGCCTTCTGAGCTCTGGGCAAACTGGAAGGCAGGGCCCGGAGCCCGGGATGGCTATGTGCTGAGATTAAGTGGGCCAGTGGAGAAGAATACTACTTTGGGCCCTGAGGAGTGCAACACCATGTTCCCAGGGCCCCTGCCTGTTGGACACTATACTGTGGAGCTGAAGGTTCAGGCTGGGCCCTATGATGCCTGGACAGAGGCCAGTGCCTGGCTGGATGGTGAGTCTGGCTGGGGTAGGGGGTCAGGCTGGAGTCCTGAATAGGGCATCTATCTGTAGCCAGAGGCAACGGGGGCCTTACTCCCTGGGGCCTACCTTTTCTTCAGGGTCTGCTGCCCAGCTTAGGCAGGGCCCTGGTGCTAGACTGTGGCTGGATGGAGTGGAAGCTACTAAGCAGCCTGGGAGGCGGGCATTGCTTTATGCTGATGGTGCCCCAGACCTCCTAGGAAACATCTCTCTGCCTTCTGGTGCCACCCACGTTACCTTCTGTGGCCTGGTGCGTGGGGCCCACTACCAGGTGGACATTGTCTCATCCATGGGAGACATCACTCAGAGCCTCACAGGCCACACAAGTGAGTGCCAACATCTGGGCCTGGGCCTGGAACATCCTGTTTTGGGGAGGAAAGTCAGAGTAAAGGAGAGGCTCAGGAGAACCGGGCAGAGGGTATCGCAGGGCCAGTGACATGACCCCTTGCCAAATCACCCCCTCTTCAGATCCCCTGGCACCACAGTCACTGGAGGTCATCAGCAGGAGCAGCCCATCTGACTTGACCATTGGCTGGGCACAAGCACCGGGGCAGCGGGAAGGCTACAGGGTCACCTGGCACCAGAATGGCATCCAGAGGTCACCTGGAAGCCTTGTTGACTTGGGCCCTGATGATTCCAGCCTGACTCTGAAGGGTCTGGCACCTGGATCCTGCTACACTGTGTCAGCATGGGCCTGGTCAGGGAACCTAAGCTCTAACCTGCAGAAGATCCACACCTGCACCCGTAAGTTCCTGCCCTGTCTTTGGGAGGCTGATTCAATGCTGAGCGTGTGGCCTGGTTTCCTCTGCTCTCTTCTCTTCTGTGTGTTCTTGACTCAGAGCATCGTGATTCAAAAGGTAGCCTTTCCTAAACCAACCATGTGGTTGGCTAGCCATACCCACCTGTCCATGTGCCCCCTCATCCGTCTGTCCATCCATCCATCCATCCATCCACCCATGCATTCCTCCCTCTATTCATCTTTCCCACAAATATCTGTTTAATGCCTCCCATTTTCTAAGTATGGGGTCGGGTGCTGAGGCTAAAGATTCTGAATAGGTCTGGAAAGGAAAACTGACAGATGGTTTATATGATGTATGTGATTTTATACATCATATTATAATAAACATAAATGCATAAGTAGGACTATGCATGATGTATTAATTTGAGTCACATGAAACTGTTTTCTTGTAGAGTAAAATGGATGAATATCAGTTTTATGTGGTTTGATTTGATATTTTCAGACTCATTGAAGGGACACCTGCTTAGGGAGTTAGAATAGGGTTCCCAGAGGTGGGGAGTGAGCTGAATGAGAATCCTATGGGTCTAGGCAGAATGGATGGAAGGCCTAGGTGAAGTCTGCATGAAGGCCCACAGACTAGAGACATGCAGACAGACACAGAGACCTTGTAGAACTGAGTGTCAGTGGATGGTTTGGAGAGTGAGACTCTGAGGGATAGGAGAAAGCAGGCACCGAACTGCCTGCTGTGAAAGTAAGCAAAGTGAGTCAGGCTCTATGTGTAGGGAACTGATAATATTTCAGGGTAGGAGGCAGGCAGGAAGCAGGAGGGTTAGACCCCATCTCTGCAAGAAGTTTTTTTGGGGAAGGCAAGAACAGTGGACTTAGAACCTCCTGGAATCTGGAACTTTACATGGGAGGCTTTGGAACTTGTTTGGGGAAGAAGAAGAGTTCACACTATTAAAATCTGTCTTCCTGTTCTCAAAGGCCCTGCTCCTCCCACCAACCTGAGCCTGGGCTTTGCCACCCAACCTGCAGCACTGAGGGCTTTCTGGAGTCACCCCCCAGGCGGCAGAGATGGGTTCCAGCTGCGGCTTTATAGGCTGAGGCCCCTGGCACTAGAAACTGATGAAACCCTGGCTCGGGAAGCCCAGAACTTCTCCTGGGCCCAGCTGGCTGCAGGCTCTGAGTTCCAGGTACAGCTGACTACCCTGTGGGGGTCTGAGACAAGCAGCAGCACCAATGCCACAGGCTGGACATGTGAGTGTCCTCCACATAATCTCTTCTCCTTGACCCTTTGGACTTTGAAGGACTCTGAGCCTGTAGGCAGGCAGCCGGGCTGTCTGTGAGGGCAGTCTCCTGAGCCCTAGGTACCAGGAAACTCCTCACAGTTCCCTTGCAGGGACTCTTATAGGCATTCTAGAACCTAGAGGGTTGTGTACTTGTACAGTGGCCATGGATGTACCATTCTTGATGCTATTCCTGGCTGGCAGTACTGAGGTGAGTAGCTGTGGGGGTGTCGGCCAGAAGCTCACCTCTAGCTTTACCTGAGCTATGAGTTGTTAATAGCAACACTCATAGTGCCCACAGGGCACCCTGCATATTGTCCTTATGTACTGCGTTCTCTTATGTACTCCTCATAATAAGCTTAGGAGGTTGACACTGTGGTCACCTCAATTCACAGGCAAGGGAACTGAGGCACACACAGAGAAGGGAGCCTGTTCTAGGCTCCTTACCCTTATGTGGGAAGCTGGGATTTGTCTATGCAGTGTGAATGGAATCAGGCTCCCTGCCACAGCCAACCCCAGACCTGAGTAGCAGGGAAGTCACAGAAATACAGAGATGCGGAAAAGATGGGAGGCTCTCTCCTCTCCGTGAGCCTCCAGGGCCTGCAGAGCCAGGTTTGGAAGGCCCCTTTCACACCGACACAAGTTCTTGGGTTTGTTCAGCTTATAGAGCTCTTGGGGTTGGCAATGAGTAGTGGGGCCTCTTATCCCCAGAACAACCTTTTCCAGTGAGGGGACTCTCCACCCATCTGTGCCTTCCATTTTAGCCTCCCTCTTCCCACAGGGCCACCATCACTGTCCTTTAGATTCTCCCCAAGGACTGTGAGGCCTCAGACTCCTGTGACATGTAGTTGTGGTTTGGTTCTGAGAGCAAGCCTTGAACGTCCCTGCTTCAGTGTTCCTCGTTGTAAGAAGGGGTCTTACTGTGTGACTGGGCCAAGATTATGTGATTATAGATTCCAGGTTTTGAGGGTGGAGGAGCACTGCCTGGTCCCCAGACAATCACCTGTCAACCCACATACGAGTTTTCAAACTCCTTGGCTGTGGGGACCCCAGTCACTCCTGGGATGCTCAGTTTAGCTCTGACTCCTGGAGGAAGGTGGTGGGGACAGAGTGAGTAATAAACTTCTTGTTTCTTGAGGAAACTGGTAAGCCTACTTTAGAGTCCAGTCAGAGGCTTACCTCCTGTCCTGAACTACCTTGACCTCTTAAACTCTGAGGCCAAGGATGCAGAGAATAGGGGTAACCTTCGGGGGGCAGATATTTATTTTCTCCATTTCTGTTTGTACCACCCTCAACTTGCTCTCCCTGTAGCCCCCTTTCCCCCAACCCTGGTAAATGTGATCAGTGAAGGCCCCACCCAGCTTCAAGTATCCTGGGCTCATGCTTCTGGGGATCAGAACAGCTATCAAGTGACCCTATACCAGGCGGGTGTCTGGAAAGCCACCAGCACTACTGGACCCAGGGTGGACAGTGCAAGCTTTTCGGCTCTGACTCCTGGCACTAAGTATGAGGTGGAGGTCATCTCATGGGCTGGGCCCCTTCACACTGCAGCAGCCAATGTCTCTGCTTGGACGTGTAAGTAGGGTATGGAAGGTGTTGGGGAGAGACTCCTGGGTTCCCTCCCTTCATGACATATTAACTCTACTTTAGCACCATTTCTCACTTCCACATTGAAGACCTTGAATGAAATCAGCCAGCCCCAGCACTGGGTGAGGGGTTCTCAGGACCAAAGCCAGGAACCTGGCTTACCTGCTGTATTAGTCACTTTTCTGTTGCTGTGATAGAAACACTGACCAAAGCAATTTATAAAAGGAAGAGTTTCTTTGAGCTTACGGTTCCAGGGGTATTACAGTCCATCATGACAGGGAGGCATGGTGGCTGGAGGTGGCTGGAGCAGGAGCAGCAGAAGCTAAGGTCTCACATCATCATGCAGGCACAGGAAGCAAGAGAGCAACTGGAGATCTGGCAAGGCTTAAGAACTCTCTAAGGCCACCCCCAGTGACATGCTTCCTTCAGGATAGCCACACCTTCTAAAACCTCCCAAAACAGTACCACAATCTGGGGACAAAATGTCCAAATATTTGGAGCTTATGGGGGACATTTTCATCAAACCACCACACCTGCTGTCTTCTTTCCACAGCTCCACTCACGCCCAATGAGTTGCTTGTGTCAATGCAGGCAGGTAGTGCCATGGTCAACCTGGCTTGGCCTAGTGGCCCATTGGGGCAGGGGACATGCCATGCCCAACTCTCAGATGCTGAGCACCTCTCATGGGAGCAACCCCTGATGCTAGGGCAAGACCACCTTGTGCTGAAGGACCTCACACCAGGATGCACCCTCTTGCTGTCTGTGCAGTGCCAGGCAGGGCCACTTAAGACTTCTACTCACCCTGTGGTGCTGTCTGTGGGTAAGTTTTACTGTATTAAGTGGGGGGGGGTGATATGCCTGAGAGGCTGGCCCTTCCATGCCGAGCCATCTGCTCCACTCAGGCAGATGTCCTGCTTATCCCTACCCTGGTTTATGCCTTCTATGCCTTTCCAGATGGGCATTGATGCCCAAAAGAAAATTTGTTGCTCCATGAGGTTGATGTCCCTTCTATGGGCATAAATACTGGCCCTGTGTGCCCAATCTGGTATTGAGTCCCTGGCTCAACAGCATCCTTTTGGGGAACACTGACACCCACGTAATGCGAGTCTTTTGTTCCCTTAGAGCCTGGCCCTGTGGAAGATGTGTTGTGCCAGCCTGAGGCCACCCACCTGACCCTGAACTGGACGATGCCTGCTGGGGATGTGAGCATATGTCTGGTGGTGGCAGAGCAGCTGGTGGTAGGAGGGAATTCTCTCTTTGTGTTCCAGGCCAACATCTCGGAGACTGCACTCCTGTTGCACAACCTGATGCCCACCACTTCCTACCGCCTTAGCCTCACTGCACTGGGCAGAAATAGCCTGTGGAGCCGGGCAGTCACCGTGGTGTGCACTACTTCTGCCAATGGTAGGCACTTTATACTGCTTCTGCTTGGCCAGCCTCCCTTTACCACGGTCCCCCAGCCTTGTGCCTCTGTTGGGCCTGGCTCTCTGAGGCAATCCCTGCCCTCAAACCCAGCCCTATCCTTTGGTCCTGATCTTGCTATTTTGAAACTATACGTTTGAGCCTCATGCCTGGTACCTTAGCCCAGTAATCTTCCAGTTCTTATTTAATTTGTGTCCATTAGCCATTTGTTGCCAGGTACCATGAGAAGTGCTGAGCTCAGGAAGGCATGGTCCCTGTCCTGGAAAGCTGATTGTTAGCACTGGGTTAGGGCCTACCTCAGTTTCCTCTTCTCTATCCCTAGTCTGGCACCCCCCAGAGCTAGTTGAGGCCCCCCAGCTGGAGCTGGAGACAGGGATGAATGTGATAATCACACGGGGCATGTTTGGCAAGGATGATGGGCAGATCCAGTGGTATGGCATCATTGCTACCACCAACATGTCACGTGAGTCCTGGGCTTGGGAAGGGTGGGAAGAAGCTGACTGTGGCTGGCACAGGACAGGTGAGGAAGGTCTAAAGAGGGAGACTGGATAAAAAGCCAAGGCCAGGGCTAATCTGCAGCAGGGAAGAGCCCTAGCTGTTATTGAGGATAAGGCTAGTATTGGACTGTGAGTGGGGGTACATACTAGAGAAATGGGGTAGCCTCTTTACTGTTGACTTGGCTCTGCCTCTTCCCATTCCTCCCCAGTGGCTCAGCCTTCCCAGGAAGTCATTAACCACACATGGCATGACCACTACTATGGAGGACATGACTCCTATCTGGCTGTGCTGTTTCCCAACCCCTTCCATCCAGGACCCTGGGCTGTGCCAAGATTCTGTACAGTGCCCATGGGTACAGAGGACTGTGGCCATACCCAGGAGATATGCAATGGGCCCCTCAAGCCGGGCTCCCAGTATAGGTGAGGGCTGAGGCAGCAGGGAAGGGGGCACTGGAAGTTCCACTTTGGGTCATTGCACATTCCTTCAACAATGGATAGAGATGGATCACAAATAGAATGCAAGTGCTGGTCCATAGGGTCCATAAAGTTATGGACCTATTTCCTGGGAAGAGTTTAGCCTCGGTCACTTTCCCCTCCTCTACATAAAGTCCTGCTCCTGTACAGGTTCAGTGTCACAGCTTTTACCAGGATCAGCCTTCCTGAGACCATCATCTCGTTCTCAGCTTTCTCAGGTAGGCCAGGTACCTGGCTAGGCTCCAGCTGGACCCTGGAGAGGGGAGGAGTGCTGGTACCCTGCTTTGGAGGCACATCTGTAGTAGAAGTGGGAGGGACTGAGCTCAGGCTCCTGGGAGTCAAGTGCTGTCTAGCAAAGTTGGGGAGCAGAGCCTCAATGATGTGTGCTGGGCTTCAGAAAAGGCATGGGGGTTTGGAGTAGGTGTGGGAAAGGCAGAGGCACTAAGGGGGTCACGACTGTGCACAGCTCCTAGCACCATCCTGTACCTCCCTCTGCTGCTGGCTACTCCCAGGCTACCAGTGTTCAAGAACAACTCTGTTCTGTAGGAACTGAAGGCAAGGCTCCAATGTAACTAAATCACATACATAACTTAGAATTTCCTAGTAGCTATGTTGGAAGCTAAAACGAAAGAGGTGGCTAGGCATGGTGGTGCACACCTTTAATCTCAGCACTGGAGAGGCAGAAGCAGACAGATCTCTGCGAGTTGGAGCTTACCGTGGTCTATATAGTCCCAGGTCAACCAAGGCTACATAGTAAGACTTTGTCTCAAAACAAAACAAAATGAAACACAATAAAAAGAAAGAGGTAACACTAACTTTTATCAACTATTTTAGGCCAAAGTATCTTAAAATGTTATCTTTACAAAATATATATTAAAAAGTCACCAAGAGACTGGGGTAGAACGGTTGCCTAGCATGTATTCCCTGGGTTGGATCCCTAGCACCCTATAAAATGGGCACACTAGGCCACACTTGTAATCCCAGTACTTGAAAGATGGAGGCAGAAGAATCAAAAGTTCTAGGTCATCCTCGAATGTTGAGTTGGAGGATATCCTGGGATACGTGACACCCTGTCCAAAATATAAAAAAAAATAAAAAAAGAAGAAAAACAAACAAGAAACACAACAAACCCCCCCAAAACTTCTGAGACCTTTCCCTATCCTTTTTTTTCTGAGTCTTTGACCTCTCCTGTGTGCTCACACTGCTCAGATCTTACGTTGATGCAGCCACACTGCAGGTATCAGGAGACCTATGTGGCTTCTGTTTACCCCAGAGCATGGTACAGTTCTAGAAGGTACAGGAAGGGGGCCTTCACCCCTTTCCTATTGAGGGTATCAGAGAGAGGAGCAGAGTCCATGGAATTTGACCAGGTGCTGGAGGCAGAGCTGTCTGTCTGTTTTCAGTAACCCTAGGCAACCATCTCTGGCTTCAGGTTGGCATTTGGGACTTCTGGGAGGAATGGGGGACTGCTACTGCATTCTCTACCCAGAGAGAACAAGTCCAGGAGAAGCTTGTATGGCCTGCAGGATCAGGACAGAGCTGCCATGTTCCATCTTCCTTTGCCTTCCACAGAACCCCATGTCAGTGTCTCCACAGTGGTAGTGCCCCTGCCAGTTATGGTGGGCACTGTGGCAGGCTGCATCCTCATTGTGTGTGCAGTGCTGGGCTTGCTGTGCTGGTGGCGCCTGAAGGGACCAAGGTGAGGGGGAGGCAAGTAGGGCTGGGAAGCCCTGGGTGACCAGCCCTGACCTGGCTCGCCTGCCACTTCCTTCTCTACTATCACAGGGCAGAGAAGGATGGCTTTTCCCATGAGCCGATGCCTTTCATCCTGCGGTAAGTGCATTAATCCGTGTTTTCCAAAGGCATGGCAGCAGCATAGCCCTACTGTACAGGGCTCGGGTGGCTCAGCAAGACTCTCTAGGACTGTTCCAGACAAGGGCTCTAGAAGGTGAGGGGGCTCTTTGATGAGTCCAAAATCTGATGAGATAGCGGGCCAGAGGCCCAGGGAAGGGTATGAACTTCAGCCAGAATTCCCCTTATAGGGAGCAGGTCAGTCTTTGTTCAGTTAAGGCCTTTAACTGATTGGACAAGGCCCACTTGTATTAGGGAGCATCATCTTTACTTGTATTGCTTTTACTTTCAAAAGGCAAAAGAAGGTTGGGGAGATGGCTTGGTGGGCAAAGCTCTGCATTGGAAGAAAACTGGATTTCAGATCCCCAGATCCTATATCAATGCCAAGTGTTCTGAACGGGAAACGGGATCCACGGAGCAAGCTGGCTAGTTAGAATAACCAAAATCGTGAGCCCTGGGTTCATCTGAGAGGAGACCCTGACTCAATAAGGTGGAGAGTAATGGAGAAAGATGCCTGATATCAGTCTCATGAGACTACATGCATGTGTGTGCTCACACATACATACATACATACATACATACACACACACGGTGAAATATTAATATAATCCGAAGAGAAACCAGAGTATGTCAGCCAATTTAAAAGTTAATTTTATCCCCAATTATCTTCACAGCAACATCCAGAATAATGTTTGACAATATATCCAGGCACCACAACCCAGTTGTTATAGTTTGTAAAACTAAACATCACACTCCTCTACTCAAGTCCTTACCAGAAAGCTCCCCTCCCCAACAAACCACATGGATTTAAAAAAGAATAAAAATAGTATTTTATTGAAAAATATATTATAAAAGGCAAAGTGATACAAATTAAAAATATACTCTAAAAGATGAAGTGAAACCTGGAGGAAACCACACGGATGGGATCAGGTCAGAGCTCTTTTCCTCACATTGACTTCCTGTTGAATCAACTCTAAGTAGGCTGGGCTGTAGTCAGGAGAGATTGCTTGCCTAGCATGTGTGGGCCCTGGGTTTGATTCCTAATACCTTAAAGAAAGACAATTGGCTGCATCCAAAAACCAACCTGTGCATTCATGTAAAGTTCTGGCCTCCTGCCTTTCTCTCTGCTCCCCTCGCTGTCTTTCCACACTGTGTTTGTGATCCTGCTGGACCCTTGTGGAATTTGCTGAAATGCACACTGTTCCACACAGAGAATGGGACAGCTGAGGGTCTGCATGTCCAGTGCTTTCCTCACCTGCGGCCAGCATGGACAGTCAGATCTGCACCTGTCCCCCAGAGAAGGGAAGGGCAGGACTCTGCACACTCAAAGCTGGGGACTATTCCCTCTTTCTTTTGCCAGGCGGACTCACCGGCCCATCCCCATCCACAGCTTCCGGCAGAGTTATGAGGCCAAGAGTGCACATGCACACCAGGCTTTCTTTCAGGAGTTTGAGGTAAGACCTGTGCCACTCTGCACTCCAAAGAGAGAGGACCAGGGTATCTGGGATGGATTGGGCCTGCCTCAAACCCTCACCACCCTTGCCCCTCGCCTGCTGTGGGGTGAGATGAGTTTGCCTCAGCAACTAGGACCTGCCTTGACTTCTGCAGGAGCTGAAGGAGGTGGGCAGGGAGCAGCCCAGGCTGGAGGCTGAACACCCTGCCAACATTACTAAGAACCGGTACCCGCATGTGCTACCTTGTAAGCGAGTGCTGGGAACAGGAGGTGGGCATGGGCAGAGAGGGCCAGAACTTGGCCCTGAGGAAGGGCTGCATGTGCTGACCCCAAATACACAGCATTTACCCTCTGCAGATGACCACTCTAGGGTCAGGCTGGCCCAGCTGGTGGGAGAGCCCCATTCCGATTACATCAATGCCAACTTCATCCCAGTAAGGATCACCTGCAGGGCTATGGAGGTGGGGTGTGCCTAGTGGGGACATGGGCTGGTTGGCAGGATACTCTCCTGCCCTGGCTGTTGCAGTTGTCTGGGGAGATCACCAGTTTGAGCTTCTTTAGGGTCATCTGGCAAATATTTGGGGAGTTCTATGGTGGTGCTAGGCTCTATACTGGGCCCCAGGAAGCACAACTGGGCTAGCCATATATATATATATATATACCTACAAAGGAGCCCATGGTGTGTCTGTGTGTGTATGCATGTGTGTGCCTTTGTGTGTATGTGTGTGTGTGCACGCGTGTGTGCATGCTGCCAGTGGAATGCAGAGTGTAGTGTGAGGTGGTATGAGGTAGTTTGGGAAGGGTATACTGGGACTGGATGAGAGAGGACCTTGATTGCTGTGCTGAAGGCTTTGGGAGTAGTGAATGGGAACACTGGGGTAGACAATGGGAGCCAAGAAAGCTTTGAGAGTATGGAAAAAAGAGAGTTTGGTTTTAGGAAGGTCAGTCTGGAGCTGGGCATGGGGACACATACCTGTAATTCCAGCACATGGGAGTCTGGGGCAGGAAGATTGAAAGTTTGAGGCCACCCTGGGTCACATCATAGAAAAACACCATTTCAAGCAGAAAAAAAAAAAAAATCACTCTGGGGTTGAGGTGAGGAGGGTGAGGAGGGTGGCTGGGTTGATTATTTCTGGCATGTCAGGATCTTGTTATTTCCACTCGTGCTTGGGGCATGGGTGGTGGCATTGGCCCTGAAGTCACCCTCTGGGTTTTACCTCTTGCTGTACACATGAGTCCATGTGTTTGTTCACGTGTAAGCATGCACACAGCATCCTTGTTCCTGTAGGTCACACATGGTCATATGCACTGCTTGGTGGAGACCAGGTGGCCAAGACACTGCCTGGTAACATGCTCCTGCCCTATACCCCAACACTTTAGGGCTACAGCCACCCGCAGGAGTTCATTGCTACCCAGGGGCCTCTTAAGAAGACACTGGAGGACTTCTGGCGGTTGGTGTGGGAGCAGCAAGTTCATGTCATCATCATGCTGACTATGGGCATGGAGAACGGGCGGGTAAGTGTCCTGCAGCTTCCTGGAATGGCCACCAGGCGGCATACATCTTTGCAAAATGGCCCTCTTTGATGCAGACTGAAAGGGGGCCTCGACATTGGTGGGGATTCCCAGGATCACAGAGGATGGGGAGGCAAGGGGCAGGACCAATTTAATGAGTCTCTTCTCCGTTCAGATCCCTCAGGCCTCTTGCTCTAAAGCAAAACAGGAGCAAAGGAGGCTTTCCTTCCATAAACCCAGTGCTGCCTCCTCTGTTCTGTGTGTGTGCAGTGTTGCCTGGGGTATAGAGGGAGGCTGCTGAATATGTCTTCCTTTTGAAAGTAGTAAGGGAAAATCAGGCTGCTCCTACGTCAGGGCCATCCAGTTTCTCAAGGGAGCCAAAGCTAACAGAATCTTAAGGATGTTGTGAGGGATCCAGGGTGAGGGCACTGGAACCTAGCTAGGGGAGGGAAGCTTCTGGAAGAGGTGACCTTTGAACTGGATAGAGGCAAAAACCAGAATTTCATCAGAGCGACAGGAACAACAACAACAAAAAAGATAGAGATGGTTGGGGCTAGGAGTAGAGGCAGCAGTGACGAGGCTTGATGCCGAGCCATCCCTCTGCTCTCCAACCCTCAATCCCCAGGTCCTGTGTGAAAATTACTGGCCAGGAGACTCCACTCCTGTCACCTACGGTCATATCACAATCAACCTTCTGGCAGAGAAGCCTGAAGATGAGTGGACCAAAAGGGAATTCCAACTGAAGCATGTGTGTGTCCAGGGGACAGGGCTGGTGGGAGGGCATTAGACCTGAGATTCTCTTCTCTGGGATCCCCATGTTCTGCTTTCTGATACAGTTCACAAGCTCTTGGCCACGGACCGGGGAAGCAAGTGGGGAATGGCTAGGGAGACGTTGAAGGCTAGGGCTGAGCCAAGAACACACCAAGGCCAGTTGTCATCCCAAGCTGTGACCTCCTGGGGCAGGAAAGCAAGAGGCTAGAATGGCCATTCTGCCTGGCCATCCTCCAGAGGCAGAGATAAACCAGGAGACTGGAGGAAGATCCAGGGCAGACTGGGCAGCACCAGGCAGGGCAGAGACAGAGACTACATAGCTGACATCCTCCAGACACCCTCAGTCTGAGGTGGGGAGGCTTTACCTCTGCTCTCAGGGAGTTGGTAAGGGAGGTTTCGGGGCTGAGCAAGGGACCCTGAAGTTAGGAAGGCAAGCATCCTTCCGCTCACTGTTCTCAGGGTACCCAGCAAAAGCAGCGGCAGGTGAAGCAGCTGCAGTTCACTACCTGGCCAGACCACAGTGTCCCAGAAACACCCAGCTCCCTTCTTACCTTTGTGGAACTGGTACAGGAGCAGGTGAGGGCTACCCAGGGTAAGGGGCCCATCCTGGTGCACTGCAGGTGAGAACAGGTGGGCAGAGGGGATGGAGGTCTCTGCCTGGACTTGAGTTGGGGGAGGGCTCTGGACTTTGAGGAGCCCCCCACACTGAGCTCACCAGGGGGCTATCCCCACAGTGCGGGTGTGGGCCGGACAGGCACCTTTGTGGCTCTTTTACGACTGCTGCAGCAGATAGAGGAGGAACAGGTGGTTGATGTGTTCAATGCTGTGTACACACTCCGGCTGCACCGGCCCCTCATGATCCAGACACCGGTGAGGAAGACACACTGTGTAGCTTGGACCCAAAAGAGTGGGAGGGGGTAGATTGCCTCAAGGGATCAGACAAAGAAGCTCTTGGGGCCATGCAGAAGACCCTGGGGTGAGGGATTCACCTGGGCTACCATCTTACCTGAATTTCCACTTTCCTTTCTGTGAAAGGGGAGGAGGGCTGACCCCTGCCACCCTGACACTGTGAGACAGCTATGGAAGATTCCCCATGGGCTCTCTAGCCCCACCTGCCACATCCCTGCCTGGCAGGTTGGGGCTGGGACCATCTCCCTCCTGGACCAGTTCCACTTAACAGGCCAATGCTTTCTCCCTACAGAGCCAGTACATCTTTCTGCACAGCTGCCTGCTGAACAAGATTCTGGAAGGACCGTCTGACACCTCAGAGTAAGTCCTGGCAGGGTGGGTGCTGGTGTCCTGTGGCTTCCAAATACTCTTCTCTCTCCTGTGTATGGGCAGAACAGAGGAGCCTGGAATCAGGAACTAGGCAACTGAGTACCATCTCTTCCCTCTTTCAGCTCCGGCCCCATCTCAGTGCTGAATTTTGCACAGGCTTGTGCCAAGAGGGCAGCCAATGCTAATGCTGGCTTCTTGAAGGAGTACAAGGTACACTTTGGGACAAGGCGTGGGTTACAAGCGAGTACAGTTTTCCTTGCTGAGCTCCAGGATTTCCATCTCCTCAGCTCCTGAAACAGGCCATCAAGGATGAGGCTGGCTCTTTGATGCCCCCTCCTGGCTACAAACAGAACAGCACTGTCTTCGGTGAGTCTCACTGGATGCAGTGGTAGGTGGTACTGGAGGCCTCTGGCAGCCTCACTCTCATCCTCACTATCTTCCCACAGGTGATCATTCTCAGCCACAGTGTACTCTGGTGGAGGAGGGCCCTGCTGACAACATGCTGGAAGCCTGGCTCTTCCCTGTGAGATGATGCTTGTCGTGTAACCTGTTGCTTGCCCTCTCTTACTGTTTGTACTTCCCAGCCTGTGACTGGAGCTCTGAGGGCTACTAGTACTGTGGAATGGGCAGGGGACATCCTAATCCCTGGGAGCCAACAAGCTGTGCTCTACAGGGTGGGCCTTCTGGTCGTGACCACGTGGTGCTGACAGGCAGTGCAGGGCCAAAGGAGTTTTGGGAACTGGTGTGGAAGCATGGGGCCCATGTGCTGGTCTCTCTGGGCCTACCTGATGTCAAGGAAAAGGTGAGGGGAGTGGAGGGACAAGATAAGTGGCTTCTGGCATGGGACAGGGATAGGAGTGTTATGGTCAGGTCAGGGCATGGCCAGAGACTTAAGAAGTAGACTGAGAGGCCTGATTTGGTCCCAGCCACAGGACTTCTGGCCAATGGAGATGCATCCCATTGTCACAGACGTGGTGACAGTGCACAAAGTGGCTGAGAACAAGACAGCCGGCTGGCCCTGTACCCTCTTCAGAGTTATACATGTAGGTATTAGAATCATAGGACCTGGGGGGTGCAGGGAGGCTCTGATGAGGGAGAGTCCTGTTTTGGCTTCACTCTGCCACTCTCTGCCACTCTCCCTAGCACCAATGCTGATTTTGTCCTTGCTTCAGGGGGAGAGTGGGATGGAGAGACAGGTTCAATACCTGCAGTTTCCCTGCTGGGAGTCTGGGTTTGAGCTTCCAGCAACGACCTTGCTGCCCTTTCTGGATGCTGTGGGTCAGTGCTGTTCCCAGGGCAAGAGCAAGAAGCCGGGCACCCTGCTCAGCCACTCCAGGTGCTGTCAATAATACCTCTCTGTTCTGCTTGGGTTTGGGGGCAAAAGGATGGTCTCCCCTGTCTGCTCTGTACCTCGACCCATCCCCAGGGATTTGAAAGGGATCAAACCTCATTAGTTGGCCAAGTATCCTGTGTTTTTTCTTAGTCCCTGGACTCAAGTTTGTTTTACCCATATCTTTGGGAGCCCCCTTCCAGCCCCTGCACACACCCATCTAACTCTTCATCAGTTGCAGCAAGAGTACAAACCAGTTGGGCACCTTCCTCGCCATGGAGCAGCTGCTACAGCAGGCTGGAACTGAGTGCACCGTGGATGTCTTCAATGTGGCCCTGAAGCAGTCACAGGCCTGTGGCCTCATGACCCCAACACTGGTGAGAGGCAAACAGGGAGGAGTTCATTGTGGAAGGGATCAAAGTAGGCAGGTTCTGCACCAGCTATAGATAGCCTTTAGGTGGCACCATTCAGGTCTCCACCATCTGGTGCTGTGGACTATCATACCCTGCCCAGATGGAGTAGGGGTTAGTCAGGTTGGGGCAGGCAGGTGAGGCAACTTGTCCATGTCTACCTCCAGGAGCAGTATATCTACTTCTACAACTGTCTGAACAGTGCACTGCTTAATGGGCTGCACTGAGTTGGGGAGAAGCCTGTGCCTTGCCAGGCAGTGGTGACCCCAGCAAGTCCACCCAGACCTGGCTTCCCTGGGACAGCAGCCTCTACTGGGCCTTATGCTGTGAAAAGGCAGTCAAGGAATAAAGACCTTTGGTCAAGCCCATGGTTGTGTTCTCTTTCTCCACCCTCCACCCTCCACCCTGGGGCAGGGATGGGAGCTGGGGCTGGGATGGGGAACTGGAGCCTGGGTCTTGCTAAGCCAGCTGACCTGCAACTGGTAAGCTCTTGGCCTTTTCCTGAAGTCTCCTGTTCTCCAATCCTCCACTTTTCCACTTTCTTCAGACTTCAGCTTTTTTTTTTTAACCTCTAGCATCCTGTGGTGCTGAGTCCTGGACCTAAAGTTGAATTTGTCCATTATTTGACACCCTGAATGCTGTAGGATTTATCTGGTTTTCTACTTCCATCTCCTACCATCCATCCTCCCCGCTGCCCCCCGTCTACCTGCCAGAGACCCCAGGGGCCTCCCTCAGTCTCTCTAGGCTCTTTGCCAGATGCTAGAGTCACAGTGTGACTTGGAAGGAAGGAACCAAAAGTGGCTTTGGCCACACTTGCCAAGTTTTCACGTTCCTTCCCTCTCTTATTTCCTCTCCTTTATATAGAAGAGAATAAGAGAAAAGGCATCAAGGGGGATTTGGAGAAGGGAAAAGCTAGGAAACCAGAAAAAGGTGTGGAAATGAGGCTATCTGTTCCAGACATCTTGGAAGTGAATTGTACATAATGGGACGCAATTACCAATGGCCTCATAAGCTCCTGCCTGCCAGGATCCAGGTCAGACTACAGGTTCCAATGCTGGGCACTGGACCTGGGGGGAGGGTTCTTGGGGAACATGAAGATTGCCTAGATCAGTCAGAGCAGCAGTCTCTTAAATGCATTAGACCCCTCCATGGGGAAGTGGCCAAGGCTCTTAGTTCTTAGTAATGTGCAAGGAGTCAGAGGTCTGGTATGGTCCTTCTCAGGCCTGTTTGAAGATGGAGAACAAGAATCTGGGCTTTCTAGGACTGGGGCTTAATTGGTAGAATTCTTGCCTAGTATGCATGAGAACCTGGATTTGATTTCCAGCACCCCATAAACCACTGTAAGAGCAGCTGGTGCTCTTAACTGCTGAGCTAGCTCTCCAGCTCCCAATGTTGTGTATGTGTGTGTTTTAATTATCTATTTTATTTTATGTGTATGTGTGTGTTTTGCCTATATGCATGTAAGTGTACCATGTGCATGTAATGCCCACAGAGGCCAGAAGAAGGCATTGGATTCTATGGACCTAGAGTTACAGATGGTTGTTAGCCATGATGTGGGTGCTGGGAACTGAACTCAGGGCCTCAGCAAGAGCTGCCAGGGCCCTTAACCTCTTTAACCCCTGAGCCCTCTCTCTAGTCCTGAATATTCAATGTTTCCTTCATTTAGTGTGCTTCTTAGGATTCTAAGAAGTTGGCTTAGAATGACCTTCCCATGGGCAAACTGGAGACTCAGCTCTGAGCTATGGAAGCTTACCTCAGGGGCCTGCTTCTGAAGTGGAATGGGGCTCAGCATGGTTTTCCAGCCTGGGCTGCTAGCTCTGGAGCAGCAGGAGTTTGGATGGAGTGTGTTGTGTGTGTGGAGGGTAGAGCTAATGTGAAGGACAACTGAGGCAAGAAATGCAGGGGGGCTTTCTGTCACCAGCAGTGTGTTTCTGTCTGCGGGTCTCCATGTCTGTGCAGGGCCATTCTGCAATGTTCCTCAGGACTCATGTACTTCTATCATGGCCTCAACTGTAGTCCTGGAAGCAGAGTCTTCTTGCTTCTTGGTCTGTGAAGTCCCTCCATCCCTGGAGTGTTATCAGGAGTGGTGAGGGACTGTGAGAGAGTTCTGGATGTGGAATGGTGGAAGGAATTTTGGCTGCCTCCAAGGTCCTCATGTTTCTGGTGTCCACTCAGGATGGACCATGGGGAGACAGGGCAAAATTGGAAGGGTCCCAACCTGGTCTAGCTCTGCCTTGGGGCTTTGCTCTGAAAGATCAGAAGACCAGAGAAGGCAAGAGGACACATGACAGAATCAGTGCTAATCTAGTGTGGCCTAAGAAAAGAACAGTGTCTTGACACCAGCTCTAGCCACCATTTCTCCAGCTCCACAATGTCCTGGGATGGTGAAGGCAGGACCTTGGGATTGGAGCCTTAAGGTGGCTGAGCTGCACTGTCAGCACCGAGCCTCCAGGTGGCACCAATCCACCGACTTGCAAGCAAGCTCTGACAACCAGCTGTGCAGAGGGCAACCCTTTCACATCCCTGGTCCTGAGATTAGGGATCAAGGTGATCCCCAGGCCTCAGACCTGGCAGCCTACATGAGTTTATTTTCATCCCTATACCTCCACTGGAATCCACACCCTTTTCTTTGGTGTTACGGCATTAACCGCCCCCCCCCCATGAGGGGCTCCTTCCCACCCTACTGTCTCTCCTACCAATTTGCAACGAAAGACCCACAGCGTGACCCCTCTCAAGACCTCATCTCCTGTCCAGGATACGGTAAGAAGCGATAACCCGAGCTCCAGTTTTGAGACTGCCCCCATCAGCTATGTGACCTTGAACAGATACCTCTTCGTCCTTTCTTCCCTTCAGTGTAAAATCTGGTAGTGGGGCTGGAGCCTGCGGAGCTCTGAGATCTTTTTTCCTGACAGTCTCCTATGGATCCCTTGAGACCCTGTGGCTCTTTCCAAAGTCAAGAGAAGCTCGATCTCACTGGCCTAGGGTCTAGGTTACCCTTTCCAATCAAAGACAGGTCTCTGACTGTGGAACTGTCCTCGTTTTGGATTTCTTTGCTTTCTCCCCCTTTTCCCCCTCTGGATGAAATTCCTGCCAGCTGGGAAGGAAGGAGGGAAAGGGAGCGAGCCACAGCGTCGAAAGTTTTCTTGACTCCTCCTCCCTCTGGATCTCCCTCCCTTGCCAAGCCCAGCCTGTGAAATTGAATAACGAAGATCACACAACAATGCCTGCCCCTCTCTGACTGCACCGTCCCGCCGCTGCCGCCGCCGCGCCCAAGCTAAACCAAGCAGAGCGGGGCGGTCCCCACCGACGGCGCAGCCCTCGGTCCCGGCCAGGGACCTGGAGGCGAGCCGCGCGCTCACTGCGCTGCGCGCCCGCCTGTGCACCGGCCAGGTGGCCTCGCAGCCCAGCTGCTGAGATGCCCAGCCCTCCCGGGCTCCGGGCGCTGTGGCTTTGCGCTGCGCTATGCGCTTCCGCGTGCACCAGCAGCGACCCTCAGCCTGGCCCGGAGCGCGCCTCCTGCCCTGCTCCCTGCCACTGCCAGGAGGACGGCATCATGCTGTCCGCTGACTGCTCTGAGCTCGGGCTCTCGGTGGTGCCAGGGGACCTGGACCCCCTGACAGCTTACCTGTGAGTACTCACCTGCTGATCTCCTGATAGCTGTCTGTCTCACAACAGTCCTGGACACCTCCCCGTTTGGTGTCTTGAGACATGAGCATCCCAGGAGGGCTCGTTCCAAGTCTGACTGGGGAGTGGAGGGGAATCCGGAAAATAAGGACCAGGCAAGCCACGAGCCTGGGCCTCCCTGCTTCCCTTCTCAGGTGCCCCTCACCCCTGCTGTGGGCCCAGTGTGGGAGCCCAGGTCTGGCAAGGTGGGGTCTGAACCCTGAGCAGGAGGAATTGGGGGGGGGCTTTTCTCTTTCTGGCAGAACAGTGCCCAGGAGGGTAGCTGAGGGCAAAAGTGACTGCTCAGATAGTGAAGTGACAGGATCAGGCAGTGGAATGGGGTAGAAACAGGTTGAACTACCACAGGGAGCAAGGCTTTAGCACTCAGGCAGGAGACTTTGGCGCAGTGGGCCTTGCCCACTACCCTCTATGTAGAAAGGGACACTGCCAGCACCATTATGTGGAGGTATCCTGCCCCCTTCCCAGGCCTCCCTGAAGTCATGTCCCAGGAGGCTGTGTTAGAGACACTAATTTGTGGGCAGGCTCAGAGACTGAAAACCAGAGAACCATTTTTAAAGTCTGAGTTGGGGTGAGATGGCTGTGAAGGGGACCCTGTTGGGGATAGCTGTCTCAGGAGCTTCCACTCAAAACCAGAGGGCCAGAGGCTCTGGCTGCTGCTCAACACCTGGACAGGATAGGGTGAGAGCACAATTTTAGACACCTGAGTCATCCCCTTACGTACTGTTCTGGGGAGAGGAAACCTTGGCCTTCCCTGGCCTTCCCTCAGAAGAAAGAAAGCAGGTGGGAAAGTCCTTAAGGCCTGAGAGGGGCCCTCATGGCTGTGGGGGTCCCAGAACTGATGAGTACTCAGGAAAGGCAGCTGGAGCATTCTTAGGGGTCAGCAGGAGTGTATGGAACTCAGTGGGGTCAAGGTGCTCTGAGGAAGCAGTGTCCTGGTGGTGGGAAGGATCCTGAACTAGAGCCCCCATGGAGCTCTCCTCTCATCTCTGTGCCTCCCTTTGGAATACCTGCCTCTATTTCAAAAGACATAGTTGTAGGCTAGAGAAGTATCAATATTTCAGAAAGGCAAACTGAGTCCTATGAAGCTTAGAGTGATGGCAGAGGTCAACACAGCTAAAATGAGTTTGGAAATATCTGTTGAGTGTGCCTCTAGGGAAACAGAAGAAAGACCTCTTGCCTATGTTAAAGGGGCAGGGAACATAGGGCCTTCCAGAGGGTAATGGGTCACACCACCTTTCCCAGCATCCAAGACTTCCTAGACTAATCTGTGGTCTGTGGTCCTTTTTCCAGTAGGACTTGGGAAAGGAAGCAGAGTTCCACTTTGGGGATACCAGTGTCCCATCCTTGTGGACAAGATTTTGACACAGTTTCTGCTGATATGTGAAATATCTTTAGGTTAGGAGAGATGGGCGTTTCTGAGCTGTCCCTGAGTCTTCCTAGGGGGTTAAAGTAGCCCTTTTCTCCTAAGACTTAGAGAGTGTTTCTGAGGGTGGGAAACATGATGAATGGGTCTAAGTCCCAGGGCAATCTGGGGGACTTCACAGGGGAATCTGTAGTATTGGAGGGAGGTGGAGAAGATTGTGTCCCCTGCCTTGGTTGAGCAGGGGTTCCTTGGGGGTGATGGAGGCAGAGCTTTTGCTGTCTGCAGGTGGCTCAGAGGTGGAGCATTCCTTTTTGGCCCTCTCAGGAGAGCTGCAAAGACGTTTTCACTGTTTTGTGTGCATATGCATCTGTGTTGGTGCACGTGTGTGCAGGTACATGTACACAAATGTACGTATGGAAACCAGGGGTCTGCCTTAGGTGTTGTTTCTTTGAAGTTGTCCACCTTGTTTTTTGGTAGCATCTCTTACTAACCTCGAGCTCATGGAGTAGTCTACACTGGCTGACCAGGGAGTCCCAGGCAATTACCTGTTCTCTGCCACTCTAGTGCTGGGATTACAAGTGCACACCATGATGACCATCTCTTTTACATGGGTTCTGGGGCTAGATCAGGCCCCCATGCTTATGCAGCAAACACTCCTTTGTTCTGAGTCATCTCCCCAGACCCATGAAGGTATTTGAAGGTAGAGAGAGGATGAGGACCTTGAGATGGAACCAGGCCAGGGATGTTTGGGGTCCTTCCTTTCTCGGCAGTCATAAGCTTGTGGGCTGTAGAAGACACCCTTGAGTCTTCTTATAAATTCCTTGACCATTTCTCAGTACAAACATCTGATATCTGCTTGCCATCCTGGGTTGATGGGGTTCCCTCCTAGCCTGTACCTGTCATGGAGTAGTTGCCTCCACCTCCCTCTGACCAAATTCCAGGGAAGACCAGAAAGATTTTTTTTTTTTTTGTCTTTTTGAGACAGGGTCTCCCTGTAGGCCCTGCTGTCCTGGAACTCACTATATAGACCAGGCTGGCCTTGAACTCACAGAGATCCACCTGCCTCTGCCTCCCAAGTGCTGGGATTAAAAGTGTGTGCCACCGTACCTGGCCAGAAAGATTTTTTTTTTTAATATGTCTAATTTCTTTAAGACTCAAATCCAGCAACCATGGCTACTCTGGGACACACCAGCTCTATTTGATCAAGTTTTGGGGGCAGACCTCACTTATACACAGTCCTTCAAGTATTTCTTTCTAGAAGGGCTCCTCCTACACCATCATCTCAGTGAGGCTTAGTAAAATTTGCTGGGCTATGTGCATGTCCCTGGGTGAGGCCTCTTAGGGAAGGGAGTGAGAGGAAGATGGTATTGCCAGTTCTGGGGCGCTGCAGTCTGATGGTGATGCGAAGGCCTAGTGTTCTGTTCCATCATATATGCACATAGGAATACACATATAGCAAATACTTGTTAGGCAAATAAGTCCCAAGTAGGAGAATCTGGTAGTTACACGGAGTCTCTTTTGCCCCTGAAGTTGAGTGGTATTGGAAACACAGTGTCTGGGAAAGGGTGTCTGTTGCTCAGGTGGTTCATATACCATCAGCTGTCCTTAAGCACCTACTTCTTTCACTCAGGGCCACCAGAGCTTCTGCTCCAGGCGAACTCCATGCCAGGCTGCTCACTGCTATCTGGGAAATTCACTGCCTTCAGGACTGCCCATGATGACTACTGGGCTTGTGTGAAAGGTCAGGTGTGTGGCGTGTGTGTGTGTGTGTGTGTGTGTGTGTGTGTGTGTGTATGTGTGTATGTGTGTGTAACTTGCAGCCTCCTTGCCACTGCCTGGGGATGTCTTTAACCAAACAAATGGAGGCAAGGTGCTGGAAGAGATAGTAGAGGGCCTCAGGCTAGGCATTAGTGTAAAGGGCTGTGCTAGTGAGCCTGGCCCAGTTTATTGGCACCTCTGTGACTTGATTTCCCCATCTATAGTGAAGCTAATACCTGATTCAAAGATCACTGTAGGGGATTTGCTGAGGTAATGCCTCTGGAGGGTTTGTGTGGCAAGTGAAAGGAGCTTAGTAAGTGTTAGCACTGTTGCCGTTAGGGAGCCAGAGCCAGGAGGCATTAGTCTTGGAGGACTTCCTGGAGGAAAGAAACACCATTCTATGAAAAGTATAGGATAACTATTTGAGTGTGTTGAGGACTGCGGCAGGAGAGAACACTGCTAAATAGACAACATGAGCTACCCTGGGGACCCAGAACCACTTTAATCTCGTCCCCCATATCACCAGCTGGTACAGTCTTAAGGCTTCATTTTAGGTGAGGAGAGTGATGGAGGGGAGACCCTAGCCTGCTCCCAACTCATCCCAGATGGGCTCCTGCAGGGCTATGGGATGAGGAAGCAGAGAACCATGTGGCCTCTGTAGAGGAGGCACTGACCCTGGGGATTGTGTGTGCACTACACTCTGTCAGCTCTCTTCCTTACCTTGGAGGCTCCTTTCCTGGCCCAGCCTCCCTGTGTCTCTAGCCTGCACCCTTCAGCTGTGAACTTGGGGTGTGTGAATTCTAATCCTCAGGCCCTCTGTGGTTGGGAGAGGGCAGGTAAGTCCTACATTTGCCTAAAAAGTAGAAAGGGAGAAGCGAAGAAACCCAGAGTCTGGGGAACAGAGAACGCTCCCTCGGAGAGGGCTTGGCAGTGGCTGGGGAATAGGGAAGGAGGGGGAGAACCCACCCACACAGCACCCACACAAGAGCAGAGAGCAAAGGAAGGGTGGAGCAATTCCAGGAAGTGGGGTCCCCTGGGCCCTCCCTTGCTGCCAGAGCCTGGGGGGGGGTTGCTGGAGGAGCGTGACTGTGTGGGGGAGCTGACACCCCAGTTCAAAGGAAAGGCAGGAAACAGCCCTAGGCAAAAGAAAAAGGAAAGCTCTGGGGTCTGGCAGCAGCGCAGCGGGCAAGGGGCGCGGCCGGGTGGGGCAGTGGCGGAGGAGAAGAAAGCCTGGCTTAGAGGGAGTTGGCCCCCAGCCCGTCCTGCGCCACCACCTTCCCCCTCCCGTGGGCTCTCACCTGATGCTCTCTCCTCGTGTCACAGCCTGCTTCCTGCACTGACCCAGGCCCACAGGGGACAGAGAGGATGCGTAGGCATCCACCTGGGTACCTCTGGGTATTGGTAGGATCCTAGGCTCTGGAGACTGACACAGGTAAGCCTGACATGGCAAGAGGTGTTAGCCCCAATTTTTCAATTTCTTAATCTAAAATAAACAGTACTTGTATCTACCTAGAAAAGTGGGGAGGAGGAGGGAAGGAGACAAAAGAAGCAAAGGACTAGCGCTTAAAAAACACTGGCTGTGGTATAATTTTATTTTTTTGTTTTTAGTCCCCCCTCCCCCACCGAGTTCATTGCTTTCAACTACAAGTGTCCTATGAGGCTCAGAAATAGAGAGGAATTGTTGGGCTTCCAGAACATCATCTTCTGGGGCTCTTCAGAGGGCTCCTCCTTCACACCAGTCTCCTAGGAAAGCCCCCTCCAAGACCTTCCCGGAAATGGCCTTCCAAGGAGCCAGGCTGCTCCTGGGCTCTGTGCTGGGTTG